TTTCCTTTATATTTTTCTAATTTTCTTTTAATTGGTCTCTTATTTCTTTCATCTCTGTTATTGTCTTTGTTTTGTCCCATCCTTTCTCCTCTTCCTGCTTTTTTTGTTAGTCTAGCCTGTTGTGGAGAGCAAAATGTGTTTTTAGATTAGGCCTGTTTTTAAATTTTAAATTTTATTTTAATTGTGATGAAATGCATGTAGCATAAAATTTACTGCTTTAGCCATTTGTCAATATGCAGTTCAGTGCCACTGAGTAAATTCACATTGCTGTAGTCGTCACCACCATCCATCATCAGAATTTTTTCATGTTAGAAAACTTAAATAGAGTTAATAAATGGCAGCGTTTACTGTTCTTGAATTAGAAAGGAGAAAGTGGGCATTTCCAAACAGGATATTGATTTTGGCAGTGTTGAATTTTGATTTACTGTATAGTTCGCCGAAGATGTCCATTTGCTCACATTGTCATATCTCTTAAATCAGGAAGTGTTTTGTAGCCAATGACATACCATCCTTTAAAGGCAAGAGAGTTTTTCTCCTCTCACAGTGTCTTTTACAGCAAGGAGCATGGTAGAATCAATCAAGAGTGGCCATTTTTCCTGTGGGTCGTGTCAGTGCCAGCTTTACCTATGTAATGTATTGCATGATGCTCAGTGTGATTCATTTTTCCAACCATAGTGGGTATACAAGGAATATTTCATTCTGAAAAGGAGCATTTTCAAAAATCTTCAGTTTCTGTAAGTCTTACAGAGAATAATTGAGCAATAATGTGCTTAAAAACAAAAGACTAGATCTGGCATTGGAGTGGAGAAATAATGCCACTGACTGGCAAGCCCAGCATCCCATATGGGCATCAGTTTGTGTCACAGCTGCTCCACTTCCCGTCCAGCTGCCTGTCTGTGACCTGAGAAGGCATTGGAAGATGGCCCAAGTGTTCGGGCCTGCCACCCACATGAAGATACAGATGAAATTGGTGGTCACTGTGGTCATCCATGGAGTGAGCCAGTAGAAGAAAAAACAGTCTTTCACTGCCTCACTTCCCCTCCCTTCTTCTCATCCTCTTCCCTCTCTGTAACTCATTCAAAACAAGTAAATAAATCTTAATTATTTTTTAAAAAATATTTTTCCACAGTACCTTTTTTTCTTTATTATTATTATTATCATTTTATGATACAATTCCATAGCCTCCTGGTATTTCTCTTATCCCAGCCCCAATTCCCTGCCTTCCACCTAGTTCTTCTATATCATTACTAAAGTATAGTTCTTTTTCTTTTTTAAAGATTTGTTTATTTATAGGAAAGTCAGATATATAGAGAGGAGGTTAGACAGAGAGGAAGATCTTCCTTCCGATGGTACACTCCCCAAGTGACCGCAATGGCTGATGCTATGCCGATCCGAAGCCAGGATCCAGGAACTTCTTCCGGGTATCCCACATGGGTGCAGGGTCCCAAAGCTTTGGGCCGTCTTCAGCTGCTTTCCCAGGCCACAAGCAGGAAGCTGGATGGGAAGTGAAGCTGCCAGGATTGGAACCGGTACCCATATGGGATCCCGGCACATTCAAGGTGAGGACTTCAGGCGCTAGGCTACGCAGCCGGGCCCTAAAGTATAGTTCTTCATACATAGTCATATGTCCATCATTGCGGGCATGGACAATGGCAGAGTCCAGAATCATATTGTCAAGATAAAGTGAACAGTTTCATTGTAAGTCCATCTTTGTCTGGAAGTAGAAATGCATACTACATTGTATCCTCACATCTGGATATGTTAGTCTCCATTTCACAGCTACTGTACATCCCCTCAAATGAAAAGTCATAATACAAAATCAATACTGGAAAGAAAAATAGAAATTTACAATGCCATGAAGTTAAATAACATTTTACTAGATATGACAGTCTCCATAAATCTCCTTAAATCAAAAGCCACAAAACAAAATCAACATCAGGAAGAAAAAAGAAATTAACAACACCACGAAGTTAAATAACATGATACTAAATGACTAATGTGTAGCTGAAGAAATGAAAAATCAAGAACCTTCTTGCAGAAAATGATGCTCCTGTATGATCTATGAGTCATTGAATGATTTAATCAGAAGAAACTGTTTTGAAGAGATGAAACTAATAGGAAACATCAAAACCCATGCGATATAGTTTCTGTTGATCTTTGTTGGTGAAATGTGTATCTTCTAGACAACAAATAGATGGGTTTTGTTTTTGAATCCAGGCTACTAATTTATGATGTTTGATTGAGCTTAAGCCATTTACATTCTGGGCTAATATGTATGGGTGGTACTTTGGCCCTGTCATTTTAGAAATGTGTTGTTCATTGGTTTAGTCTTCTGTTGTCATTTTACTGGGATGTTCTTCCCATTTGTCTTTGGTTTTGGTAGGTGCTATTCTCCTCTGTCAAGAGAACATCTAGAAGTATCCTTTGTAGGGCAGGTTTGGAAGAGGCAAATTCTTTTAACTTTTCTTTACTGTAGAAGAATTTTATTTCATTTTCAAAGACAAAAGAAAGCTTTGCTGGATATTTTATCCTAGGCCGACAATTTTTTTTCTTTTAGAATCTGGAATGTGTCACTCCATTCTCCTCTTGCCTGTAGAGTTTCCTGTGAGAGATCTCCTGTGAGTTTAATTGGCATTCCTTTATATGTCAATTGATTTTTTTCACATGCACATTTAAGGATCTTTTCCTTATGTTCAACTGAAGAGAGCTTGATGATCATGTGTCTTGGTGAAGATCGCTTTTGATCAAACCTGTTGGGAGTTCTGTGCCCCTCCTGGATGTTATTTCCCAATTCTTTCTCTAGATTAGGGAAATTTTCCTTTATTATTTCATTAAATATATTTGTAAAACCAGTTTTTCTTTCTGCACCTTCTGAGACTCTCATAACTCTTATATTAGGCCTCTTAATAGTGTCTTTCAATTCTTGAATAGTTTTTTTGGTCTGATCCAGCTTTGAAGGCTTTTTGTTTGCTTCCCCCTGATGACAGGAAATACCTTCCAATTCTGAGATTTTTTTCTTCTGCTTGCTTTATTCTATTTTGGAGACTCTCCACTGTACTTTTAATTTGCACTGCTGTGTTCTTAAATTCTGTTATATCAGCCTTGATTTGCTTTATTGCTGCTATTGCTTGTGTAAAATATTCCTTAAATTCTTTGAACTCTTGTATGTGCTTCTCATTGTTGATCAGAGCTTTAAAATGAGTTTTCTGAATTCTGTGTCCCCCATTTTCTTGATGTCTTCCTCAGTTAACTCTGAGGTTGGCATAGGGTTTTGCTCCTTTGCAGGGGAGTTTTCAGTAATATTCGTTGTGCCTTTGTCTCTTCTTTTGTTCTTGGTCATTGTACTTCTGGTTAGTAGAATCTTCTTGGGGCAGGTTTCTAAGCTGTGTCACCCACAGGTCTACAATGCGATTTTACTTATTGCAGTTGGTACACAACTTTTTGCTTGCAGCCAATTGTGCCACTCCCTCCAGCGAGTTCCAGGTCTGGGTTCCTATGTTAGATTTCCACCATGGTCTCTGTGGCCCCAGCTCCTGGCTCACCAATCTCTACCTCCTGTGATACTATGCTGAGGCTGCACTGTTGTCTGTACAACCTTTCTCCCACTTCCGGTTTGAGGAGGTCCCAGGATTAGAGAGATACCAGGTGTCCTATATAGCTAGGTTGTTGGTGGTGCTGATCTTGCTGAAACCTGTGGGACGTTAGGTCTGTGTGCCACACGGACCTACTTTGACCCGTACGATGCCACAGTCAGTATTATTTTCCCCTTGTGACCAGTGCAATCCATGAAACTCAGTGAGTTCTTACAAGCTCAGCACATGCGCAGTCCCAAAGCTTTTGCCACAGTATACAAAATGGCACCTGATGTACCACTACTAGAGTTCTTGATCTGCTGGCCATCAGGTCTGAGGGCTACCTGGGCCTATCTTGGGTGGAACCTGTAGAATGCCACATTGATGCAGTTCACTGATCCAGAAATGAGTTCACTCCCAGCTCAGTGCATGCGCAGCCCTTTCTTTTGTCATTTGCCTCCTTAAACAAAATGGCGCCCAAGTCGGCTCTAGGGGGCTGACTGGGCTGTGAAATCCACCCTGTTCTCGCACTGCCCATCTGGGATCTGCTGCTCTGTCTCTGCACCTGGTCAAATCAAATAGACCAGCAGGATGGACAGTTCTTTGTCTGGGTTCACCTCCCAAGCTCCCAGTGAAAGTCCCTTCCCACCTGGTTGCTGGTGGAGTTCTGGCTGCTGGTGGAGTTCAGATTGCTGTTCATTGAATGCCACTGGAGTATCAGTCACTGCAACTCCACACTATTGTGTCTGCTGCTTTGCTGTGTTTGTCAGTCTCCAGGTGCCCCTCTGCTATTGTTCTGTCCTCTCCTATTTCCTGGGATGTGTCCTCTCTGCTTCATCCTGATTAAATGTTTTTCCGTCTGTTTAAACTTGTCCTTACCTATTCTGCCACCTTGATTCTCCTAAAAAAAAGATTTATTTCATTGGAAAGGTATATTTACAGAGAGAAGGAGAGACACAGAGAAAGATCTTCCCTCTGCTGATTCACTACACAAATGGCTGCAACAGCTGGAGCTGAGCTGATCTGAAGCCAGGAGTCAGGAGCTTTTTCTGGGTCTCCCACATGGATTCAGGGTCCTTAAAGCCTGAGGCCATCCTCCACTGCTTTCCCAGGCCACAAACAGGGAGCTAGATGGGAAGTGCAGCATCTGGGACACAAACTGGCACCTATATGGGATGCTGGTGTTAAGAGGTGGAGGATTAGTTGGATGAGCCATTGCACCAGCCTCACCTCCCCCAGGATAGGAGAGTGTTATAGGAGTATTAATACCTGGTCTCATCGTGAAAGTCACCTACCTGTGACAGCTGACAACGTGATGATCTCTTCCATTTGGGTGTTGTTTACTCTGTGTGCTTTGGGTGCAAACAGACAGCTAACCAGAGCCTGATTTTTAAGATATTTCATTTCTTTCCCATCTTACTTTTATAGCTTGTAGTGAGCTGCACACTCCATCGCTAGATCGAAAACCAAATAGTTTTGTAGCAGTGAGTGTCACCACCCCTCCTCAGGCATTCTGGACGAAGCATGCACAGACGGAGATCATTGAGGTGAGTGCACAGCTCCCTGTCCTCTTAGAGAGCCCTAGACCTGCCCGCACAGTGTTACAGCTCTGATGGGGGAGGACGGGATGCGGGCTGAGGGATTCAGTCACCCCAGCATTCACAGCTGCAGTCAGATCTATGTGGATTGTCTTTCTTTGTAGATTTTCAGTATGTTGCTACTTTTTTGGGGGGGGGGGGCGTGTCACAATTAGCCGTTGATGAACTATTATCTGGTTAAGGTTGATCCTGTAGGATAGATTGCTTTTTAGAAAGAAACCTGATTCTTTCCTGTCACTTATAATTGGATGGTGAATTTAGAGAACTGTGTTAGCAATCAAAACCTGGAGGAGTGCTACCATCCACCCTGTTGCCAGGACCTATCTCTCTTTGTTTTGGTTTACAGATTGCATTCTTTTCTCTTTACTTTAGATTAGTTGGTATGCATCCACTGAGTGAGTTTTCCAATAAAATCCTTTTGGACAATCAAGCACATCACAAGCTAGTCCCCTAATATGGGGAATTACTTATAGCTAATCCACAGAATTATATTTATAAAGTGAAGAATTACCAAACATACTGCTATGCCTTTTCTTTCCCAGTTTTGAATTTTAGAAGCTAAAGTCTCACTCCTAGTATCTTAGAAATTTGTTTGGAGGTTCATGTCAACAGTTCCGTTTTCTAAGCATTTCTTGAGCTCTGTCTATACATCAGACACAGAGTAGGGCACTGTAGATGATACATAGATCTAAGGACACAGCCCCTGCCCTCAGGAATTCCCAGCCTGTCCTGAATTTGTCTACCTCCCCTCACTGCAGGATGTAGGATGTGTTAGTAGAAAGTGGCAGCACTGAAAGGCCACCAGGGTCCCATCCAGCCCTGAGGGTTGGAGCCAGTTTTCCTAGGTGACACTAGATGAAAGTCTGCCTCAGTAGGTTTGGGGCAAGACCTGTTATTCTGCATCTCCCCCAAGCTTTAAGGTGATTCCCTTGCTGCCAATATGCAGACTTTACATGGAAGGGCGTTCAGAACTTCATGGTAGTTATGCAAAAGCATGGAAATAGAAAAGTTTCATGTAGGTTTGGGGAACAACTTGTTTGGTGTATTCAAAAGACATAAACAAGAAAGGCATGAAAGGAAGCCATGGAACCCAGGCCAGGGGCTTGTGACATAGCATACTGTAGCCAGCCAGTGCAGGTCTCTGTAGGGGGAGTCTCCTGACCAGATGTTTTCACTCCTACAGACCCTTGGGGCGGGCGAAGGGTGCTGTAGTACCTGGCTTGGCAGCAGGATGCATGTAGGAAAGGCTCTGCAGATGGGACTTGCAGTAGGAGTTCAGTCACGAGATAAGGAAGGGGACACCGAAGCCAGGTTGGAAGGAGATCAGAGATACATGTGAGCAGAAGGGTGGGTGGGAGAAGTTGAGTTGGGTTGAGGCTCCAGGAAGCCTCCCAGAGGACTGACTAGCAGACCTTAATAGAGCAGATCTGGGGCTGTATGGACAGAGGTGGCCTTTGAAGTAATGCTTTGGCTCAGAAGTCATCGATCATTGCTTGAGAAGGAGAATGTGATGTGAGGAAGCTTTGTGGAAGAACTAAATTTCTAGGAATTAACCATCTGTGATCTAGAATCTAGCTACTCGTTCTAAAAAAAAAAAAAAAAGATTGCTTTTAAAATCAGGCTTTAATTGTCCAAACATAGTATAAGTAGAAATAACAAGTGGCTTAAACCATTCATTGCCTCTTTCTTCTCCCTGATTGCACATCTTAAAGGGTCAGAACACAGTAGTGGATCTAAGTACACAGTACACCTCAAGTTTTAATGCTAAGAATGCGTGTAAACCCTTAGAATGAGCCCGCAGGCACAGCTTGGGCTGCGGGCCTGCATCTGCAGCAGTCTCCGTCAGATTGCATTCTCCTCTTCCACAAAGCACACACTTAAGCCAATGTTAACATTTTGTGTTGACGCAAGTCAGTAAAAATGTTAGTTTCTTATTCTGAAAATGTTGATCTATTTCAAAGGCAGTTACTAAAAAAAACAAATTCAATTCTGCATTCTGACTTGTTTTCTTTTCTGTTCCAGGGAACCAACAATCCTATATTTCTGAGCAGCATTGCCTTCTTTCAAGACTCTCTTATCAATCAGATGACACAAATCAAGCTATCCGTGTACGATGTCAAAGATAGATCTCAGGGAACAGTTAAGTAACAGGCTGCAGCTCGTGGACTTTTCTTCTCCTCCTTTTAAAATTATGCAATCATCTGAGGGAGAGTTCAACACGAGATTGGTTTCACTACTGGCTTATAAATTAGCTCCTGTCTAAGCATGTTTGTCTTGAGGAGTATCTTTGTGAACAGTCCCGTCAGGCTCCTGAGATGATGATGACGAGATGAGTCACGGAGCTGGCCAGACTTCCCTGGGTTGGGGAACAGAAACAAACCAGCACTCTGATGTTGTCTCTTCCCATTTCTTCCTCAGATGTACCTACTGGGCTCTGGAACATTCGTTGTCAAAGACCTGCTACAAGACAGGCATCATAGGTTGCATTTAACACTAAGGTTGGTATGTAAATTCATTGCTTTGAAAATAATGATTCGTGAGTTCCAGGGACAGCTGGGGAAAGACGCTGTTTTCTATTCTTAGAGTACCGTCTCCCTTCCCTGTTCCAGGAGGGGCAGGCTGTTGATCTAATCAGAGGGCCAATCATGGGGTAGCAATTTGTGGCATTATTAGATAATATCTAATAATGAATGTCTTTGCCTCTCATCTGTCCCTTTCCTGGGATAATATAATCTCCAAGACAGCAGAGATTGTCATTTGCTTTATTTCATTTTGCTGTTTCTGTAGTACCAAGTGCCTGATTTTCAGTATATATTTGTTGAATGAATGAATGAATGAATGAATGAATGAAAACACCTGTTGTATACTTAGAGGGGAACATGAATGAGATCAAGATGTCAACCCTTCTTAAACCAAACCTCTAATAAAGCATTTTTTTTAATATAAACATTGGAAAAATGCTGTTTGGGAAAACAGTCTGAAGCAGAACGAAAGGTTAATGATGACCTGTCCTGCCATGCTGAGACAGTCGGGAGCTTCCGTTGGTATGACAGTGTGGCAGGCATTGGCTGTCCAGTTAACAGGCAGGGCCAGCACCCTGCAGCAGTCCTCTGCGTGAAGAGATCTAGAGGCAGGAAAGGAATGAATCATGCAAAATGGGAGGTGAAGATCGTATGAGGGAAAAGTCTGCTTGAGAATGGTACTTAGGTACATCATATGCCAGAATCCAGCTGGCTTAGTGTCCACTGTAAGAAATGCGACTTCATCTTTATAAAAGGAGCCAGAGATGCCTATTGAACAGAGAGCAGGGGAAGGACACTTCCAGGCAGGAGGGCAATGTGAGATCACAGAAGACACGTGGCCTTGGGATGTGACCATATGAAGGTGTAGAACCTGGCTAAGTCAGACATCATAATTGAGGTGCCTGGGGCTACAGGACGTCTCTAGGGCTCCCCTAGATGAATCAGATGGGCCTAGGCAGCCAACAGCCATCTCCAGGGGATCTTAGGGGGTTTAACAGAGTGTAGTGGGAGAGTCATCACCTTATATCATATCAGGATTGTGGGTCTTTTTTTAAAGGAAAGGTGCACTCCAGTGCTGACACTGAGATGAATCCCTTCTGGTATCTTCTCTGGAAGCCCCGTCCACACTACTCTGTCTCAGACCCAGCCCTCCCCTACCCTGACGGGTTTCCTTGTCTGCCTCCCTCTGAAGAAGCCCGCCAGTGCTGTGGTTTCTGACAGATTGACAAGCTGGCTTTTGCTGCTTCCGGGATCCCTGATGATCTAAGCTGGCTAGCTTTGCAGTTACCACACACACACACACACACACACACACACACACGTAAACCTTCTCATTAAAGCACTTTGCCACTGCAGGTCTGCAGAGAGTGACCGCGTGGGTAACATCACTGTGATCGGCTGGCAGATGGAGGAGAAGTCAGACCAGCGGCCCCCGGTGACCCGGTCTCTGGACACTGTCAATGGGAAGGTGAGTCTACCACTGTCATTCTCCCTTCCCATTTGTGTATAACCTATTGTGCAAAGGACAGCGTCTGCTGCTCGCTGCTGCCCCCTTCAGGAAGATTGCCTGGTACCTGCTGCCCTGGAGCCTGCCTCTCTCTGCTGCCTGGTACCACACTGGCTAGCTTGCTCTAGAGGACAGGATGCAGTCTGAGTCAGGGAACTGCAGTCAGGAAGGGAGGGGGCTGCTGTGAGGGTGCTGAGCCTGAGTGAAAAGGCATCTGAGAACCAAGTTTACCTGTTACAGTGTTTTGTTACTATTTTCCTCTTACACACACACACCCCTTGCACTAGCCTTGTGCACACCCACTTCTCAGCACTTCCTTCTTCTCCTCCTCCTTCTTCCCTCTCCAGTATACATCCTGCCTCCCAGTCTCTCACGCAGGTACTCTCACACACTCTCCAACACGAATTCTAATTTAAGAGTCCTGATACTGCTAAGTAGTCTTTGTTGTAAAATTACAAAGGTTTCTATCTTTATCCAAATTAAGCCCAGAATGTTAGCTTGAGAAGTACTCTTTTGCATCATCCGTCCCTCCCTCTCATTTGACACATGGAGCACCACGCAGGGGGGAAGTGACTTAGAAGATGTGCCAGTCAAGGAACCGTGTGTCCACAGCACGTCCAGAGCTCTGGGAGGGGAACTCCCGTGGCTGTGGCTGTGGCTGTGGCTGTGGCCCGGGCTGTGGCTGTGGCTGTGGTCATGGCCGTGGCTGTGGCTCGGGTGGCATCTTTACCGTAGGGTTAACAGTGGATCTTGAGTTCCCGGGTTCTTCTATGATGCATGCAGGTCTCATTTTTGCAGTAGACAGCTGCTCTAGTGTTGTCTGAGCCTTAGGGCTTCCTTGTGCTTTCCTGTACCTGTTGCAGATGGTCCTGCCTGTTGATGAGAGCCTGACCGAGGCATTGGGAATTCGATCCAAATATGCTTCGTTGCGAAAAGACACTTTACTGAAGTCAGGTAAATAGATTCCCCCTTGGATACTCCTGCTGCTCTTGTCAGGGATGTCTCAGGCCAGTGGCCACCTCTGTTCCCTAGCTGGTGCAGTCGTCAGAGCCCTGCACCCCAGTTGTTCTGTCTCTGCTGCTCATCCGTGTGCTGTTCTTTTTGTAGCTTATGGAGGGTTAGTAACATCCCATAAAGTGGCAGCTCTTTTTTCATTGCATTCTTTCTTGTTTGGCGTTGAGTTTAGCCTCCTTGTGCCTAGCACCTTGCACTTCAGAGTTCCAGGACAGAAAGATTTTCTTGTCTGGGGGAGGAACGTTCAGCCTCTGTCCCTTGGTGGGTTTTGGTTTAAATGTTTTAATTGTCTTGAAATCAGCAGGACTTGAAAAGGACTTAAAGGCATAGAGATGAGGACCCTAAGGCAGGTCTGTGACCAGCTCACCCCCTAGCCTTTGTCTCCCCTGCTGTCCCATCCTAGTGTTTGGAGGTGCCATCTGCCGCATGTACCGCTTCCCAACCACCGATGGCAACCACCTGCGGATCCTGGAGCAGATGGCAGAGAGCGTGCTTTCCTTGCATATACCCCGGCAGTTTGTGAAGCTCCTGCTAGAAGAAGATGCGGCACGGTGAGGCTATTATGGGGCAGGGAAGGGAGGGCTCAGTGGTCACTTACCACACCCGCGCTGTTTGTTCATTTCTGAAGTGTGGTGGGCAGAGAACTGACAGCTGACAGGCTGGACCACAGACCAGCTTTGGCTGCTTTCCACTCCATGACCCGGGCTTGCCACAGCCTGAGTTTGCTCATTGTGTCAGGGATTCACATGCAGGGATTTCATAGGATGGTGTGTTTGAAGCCCAGACGTGTTCAGCTCACAACACCTCTTTTCTTTCCTTCTCCTCCCCTCTCTCATTGGCCCTGCAGTAAGTTGGGAATCGCTGCTCATTGTTTAGTTATAGCTGCCTGGGTCAGAGAAGAGGACTGCAGAAGACTCATTTTGACACATCAGGGCACTCAGGTTCCTGTGGACCTGCAGAGCAGGGTCTCCACTCCTTGACATCTCTAGACCGTGACGTGTCATCACGTTGTCATCTGTCTTGAGACATGGAGAATTGGAGAGGGACTTTAGTTCCTGCAGGTTCTGTCTCTGACCTGTCTAGATTATTTTCACTGTTCCTTGTCCTACAGCAAAATTAAGTATAAGCAGTGTAATAGAAGAAAACAAATGAATCCAAATCCTCCTACTTTGATATAGCTATTTTGTTTTAGTTTTTAAGTTTGAAAAGATTTCAAGCTTAGCAAAAGATGTCAACATTAGTGCAGTGAACACCTTTCACCTAAATATATTGTTAACAGTTATTTTAATTTTAAAAATATTTATTTTGGCTCTGTTCATATTCGTATATGTTTGCATGGTTGTAATCTACTTTTCCATGAATCTTCAATTTTTACATTTTAGTTTTTAATTAAAGCATAATTTTCTATAATGAAATGTCTTTGTAACAATGGGATGCTGGACCATCTGACATTGTACCAACAATGTTGGGGTACACTTAAATAAGAGACTGATAGAATTATGATTCCTTATGAAGGACTACACTATTGTAACAAAATGGGAAAAATCTGACGAGGGGGTGGGATCCCAGCCTATACAAAATTGTACCACACAATTCAAAATTCAAAATAAAAATATATATTTTTTAAAAAAGAAATGTCTGTAATTTTACAGAATCCATGCATTTTTTTTAAGATTTATTTTATTTTTATTGGAAAGACGGATATACAGAGAGGAGAGACAGAGAGGAAGATCTTCCGTCTGATGATTCACTCCCCAAGTGAGCACAACGGCCGATGCTATGCCGATCCGAAGCCAGGAGCCTCTTCCGGGTCTTCCGCGTGGGTGCAGGTTCCCAAAGCTTTGGGCTGTCCTTGACTGCTTTCCCAGGCCACAAGCAGGGAGCTGGATGGGAAGCGGGGCCGCCGGGATTAGAACTGGTGCCCATATGGGATCCCGGGCGTGCAAGGCGAGGACCTTAACCACTGCGCCACAGCGCCGGGCCCAAATCCATGCATTTTTAAAAAGGTGTATTTTTATTGAAAAGGCAGATTTGGCAGAAAGAGGGAGATACAGAGAAAAAGATCTTTTTGTCCATTCTTCAAATGGCTGGAGTGGCCAGAGCTGAGCCTATCCAAAGCTAGGAGCTTCCTCTGGGTCTCCCATGTGGATGCAGGGTCCCAAGGCTTTGGGCCATCCTTGACTGCTTTCCCAGGTCACAGGCAGGCAGGGCAGCTGAATGGGAGGTAGAGCAGCCGGGACATGAACCGGTACCCATACGGGATCCTGATGTGTACAAGGTAAGGATTTTAGCCACTGGACCTTTGTACCAGGCCCAGAGTCCATCTTTTTAACAGGTGCTTTAGGGTTTTGGTTTTTGCTGTAGTCAGCAACACCTAGTCTGGAAGTATGAAGGCTTCTTGGTGATGGAGAGACAGAAGCAAGGGGTGTCTCACCCGAGAGCTCCAGACGTATTGGCATATGCTTGAGCTCGAAAGAGCCGCAGTAGAGAGAAGGTGGTCAGGGCAAGCTTCTCAGAGATGTTGGCCTTTAGCTGACACCCCAGACTTGGAAAGCAGTCACATAAGCTTCACGTAGAGTCATTCTAGAGAGAGGGACCTGCCCTGCCAAGACCTGCAGGTCCTGTGCTTGGGAGAGGCCTGGGCCTGGGGATTTGCCACTGGCAGGGGATAAGCACATTGATTTCTCTGCAGTTCTGCTTGCTCTGGATGTTTTGTACATTAATATTGACATTTTAATAATAAGATGACATGACTTTTTTTTTAAAGATTTATTTATTTTTATTGGAAAGGCAGATATGCAAAGAGGAGGAGAGACAGAGAGAGAGAGATCTTCCTGTCTGATGATTCACTCCCCAGGTGACTGCAATGGCCGGTGCTGTGCCGATCCGAAGCCAGGAGCCAGGAACTTCCTTCCGGGTCTCCACACAGGTGCAGGGTCCCAAGGTTTTGGGCTGTTCTTGACTGCTTTCCTAGGCCACAAGCAGGGAGCTGGATGGGAAGTGGAGCTGCCAGGATTAGAACCAGCACCCGTATGGGATCCTGGTGTGTTTAAGGCGAATGTGCTTAACTGCCATGCTATTGCGCCAGGCCCAACTTTTCTGTCTTGAAGATTTTGTGAAGTGGAGAGATAGCTAGTGCCCATCTTCTGATTCACTCATCATTTGATTTGCTCTCCTCAAAGGCTCATAGCCACTGAGCCTCGAGGAGCCAGGAATTCAATCCAGATCTCCCACATGGGTGACAGAAATCTGACTAGTTGAGGCATTGTTGCTACTTCCTGTGGTCTGCCTTGACGGGGAGCTGAAGTCGGGAGTTGGAGTTAGGGATGAACCCGGGCAGTCGCATGTGGGCTGCCATGGTCTTAACCAGTGTCTCCAGCACTAGGCCAGGTGCCTGTCCCCAGGCTCTTTTTATTTTTCTAACTTCAGACAACTTAGCAGCTTCTTATTAATATTTATGGAATTAGCATTTTTTTTCTTAAATGAAAGTACATGCCTATACTATAAAAAGTCAGTACTGGAAGTTTTTAATAGTTTCACTTATTTTATTTTTTACTTTACTTTAAAAGGCAGACAAGGATATAGAAAGCTGGAGATGTTCTATCTTGCTTGCTCCTCAAAAACCTGAAACAACTGGGGTCTTGGCCAGCCTAAACCAGGAGTTCAATCCGGGTCTCTCACATGAGGGACCCGGGAAGTTAGGTCATCACTTGCTGCCTCCTAGGGTGTTTGTGAGAGCAGCCAGCTTAGAAAGCTAAGCCAGGCTCAAACCCAGCACTCCAGTTTGGAATGTAAGCGCCCCTCCCCCCGCCCCCAGCAGCATCTTAAACACTGATGGCCGAATGCCCATCCCTGAAAGGTTTGTAAAAAATTTTGACTGAAAGTGTAGCTTTCAGAGCTCTCTGCTTTCTAATCTTCCTAGGAACAATTTTTCTAATGGTTTTAGTTTTTGTCGCTACATCTCTCAATATATTTAGAGGGTCCTGTCTCTGTTAATCAGCCGCAGGAATTGGTTGATGTCCTATGATGAGAAATTTAGTCTTCCAGTCCCAGTTTTCCTAATATGGTTATTTTTGCTTTAACAAGAATCCATCTCGTGTTTTTGTTATTATGATTACATAGTGAATACTTGCTTCTGAGTTTATATTTAAGTTCTTATGCAACCTTTATTTTTCTGGAGATAACACTTCTTCTTTTTCTTTCTTTTTTTTCTTGTTTCTCCTCTTCCTCTCCATTTTCTGCCCCGCCCCTCTGTCAGACCCACACACATGCAAGACTAAAAGCCAAGATCAGGCCCATATGACTTAACAGTCCACTCAAGTTCTGGACAGTTCATTCCTTTTTTTTTTTTTTTCTTTTTAGAAATGAGGAAATCCAGGGCTTTATTTTATAAAAACAAATGCCATACCATGGCCCCGAACCTGCTTCCCTCCCTGCAATTTTTAAATGTTTATCACTCAGCAATGCCCTTCATGACCTTTTGAAGACCATTGAGCTGGGAAATTCTAACCTTTATCAAACAGATAGATAATGTTACTTACAGGACTTATTTCACATAGAAAGCAAAAATTACACTAAATTTTCAGTAAACTAGCTTTATGTATTTTCCCTGCTTGGATTTCATTGCTAAACATCTTTATGATGTCTTTTGGTTCTCATTTGGATGGTGCATAGAGTGTCCTTATCTTTCTCTGGATCTTCTGCCTGTCTCTTGACTCCTTATGTTACTCTCAACTCAGATTTACACTCAAAAGGACCGGACACTGGTCCTTAAGTCAGCATCTTGGGACAGTTCATTCCTTACGTAGAAGTAGACAGTGAAATGATGACTAGCCAAAGGTTCAACTCCCTGGGTCCTTGTCACAGACCCCGAAACGGTGACACTGAGATGGAAAGGGGAAGTAGCCGCAGAGTGAGTTTTGGGATCCCCCACCCTCCACCCACTGCTGAGGCTGCAGCCAAGCAGTTGCACTCTGCAGTTCTGTTCTTGTGGGAGGGCAGGGAGCCTTCAGCTCTCTATGATCTGGAGGAATCACACGTTCTTCTGCCCCAGCTCAGGCAGGCTGTGGTTAAGCCTGTGCCTGCCGGGGTGGCCAGTGTGGAGCCAGTTCCTCACAGCCTCTCTCCTTGCACGTTTGGCTGAATTCCCATAGGACACCTTTCCATATGCTATTCCACGTGTTCAGTGGTCTGTCCTCCAGCACTCTCTGCCCTGTAACCTGGCAGTGTGACCACTGTCCTGGCTCCCTTAGGCATCAGCGCTCCTGTCATGAACATGTTGTTCTGCTTAGGACTCCTAGCCCTCCCCACCATGACCTGATACGTGTGTCTTGTTGCAGAGTGTGTGAGCTGGAGGAACTAGGGGAGCTGTCCCCTTGCTGGGAGAGCCTGCGGCGCCAGATTGTCACCCAGTACCAGACCATCATCCTCACATACCAGGAGAACCTGACCGACCTCCATCAGTACAAAGGTCGGTATTCTCCGCCAGCTGGTGGAAGATCGGGGAGCCAGGGTTACACGCTGTCTCTGATAGACACTCAAATAGATTTCTTTTTTTGTCTTTTTAGATTTTATTATTCATTTGAAGAGGGAGAGAGAAAAATAGAGACAAAGAAGCAGGCAGATTGAAATCTCCTTATCCACTCGTCCACTGCCCAAATGTCTGTAACACCTAGAACAGGCTGAAGCTAGAAGCCAGGAGCTCCATGTGGATCCTCCACAGATACTTGAGTCCTCATCTGCTGCATTGTAGGGAACACATTACAAAGAAGTTAGTGTCAGTTGGGAACAGGGCCTGAACTTTAACTCATACACTTTGATATAGGATAAAGGCATCCCAAGCAGCCTCTTGATTACTGTGCCAGACATCCATCCCTAAAAACCACTTTGAATGAATCTGTTTGTATATTGTAGATAAATAAAGTGTATAAGCACAGCTTGACCATTAGGCCAGTTTTTTTTAAGATTTATTTATTTATTTATTGGAAAGTCAGATATACAGAGAGGAAGAGAGACAGAGAGGAAGATCTTCCATCCGATGATTCACTCCCCAAGCGGCCGCAACAGCTGGTGCTGTGCCAATCTGAAGCCAGGATCCAGGAACTTCTTCTGGGCATCCCACGTGGGTGCAGGGTCCCAAGGCTTTGGGCCGTCCTCGACTGCTTTCCCAGGCCACAAGCAGGGAGCTGGATGGGAAGTGGAGCTACCAGGATTAGAACCAGCGCCCATATGGGATCCCAGCATGCTCAAGGCGAGGACTTTAGCCGCTAGGCCACGCCGCCGGGCCCCGTTAGGCCAGTTTTACACTTGATCTTAGCCAAAGGCCGCAAAGCGATGCTTGGCCAGTTTTAAAATCAGATTCACGGCTTCCACTTCTCACTTGTTTCTCTTGGTAGATTTAACTGACCACAATTTTCCTTTCGTGCAGAATTCATCAAATGGGTTTTTAAAAGTAGATTCCTATATAGATATGGTTTCAAATATGGATTTTTCCGATCTTAATTGAAAAGAAGAATCTGTGGATTGCCTTGAAAAGTCCTTTTCTGGAGTTACCTGCCAAGACTACTGCTACAGAGTGAGATTTAGTGGGGATACAATCCCAGGCTGTTGGTGGTGTGTGCTGTTTGTTTACTTAGGTCTGATATCAGTAAATGCCTTGAAGTGGTTTTCTAGAAGTCTTGGTTTAAATAGGAGCATTTTTATTGAACAAGTAAGTTGTCAGAGAGGAATTCTCCATTTAAGGCTCAGAAGAGAAAGTGGAGTGTCAACACCTCGCTTTTCCTCCTGAAATGCCATTTGATTCTCAGAAAGTTCTTAGGACTGATTTAGAAAAACAGTTCCCGACTTGTTCTTCATTTATTCCAAAGGGAATAGGTGTGTGTGTGTGTTATCATCACTTTAGCAATTTGAATCCTTCTGTATCTTCATGTTCTTCCCTTCTTTTCCCTTCACATGCGGTAAAAATTTGGGGGGTTTAAGGAAAATGGCTAGCTTTTAATGTGACTTTGACATAGAACGTGTGAACCTGATTGTGAACCTGGGTGTGTAGAAGCCAAATATAGAACTGACAAGATGGTGGTGCTTGGGTTTCTGCAAGCCTAAGGAGCAGGGAGGGTTCAGTGTGTTTCTCAGTGAAATGGCAGCACTCCCTCCAGAAAACAAGGGGTTTTTCTCAGGTTGGTAGAGTGCTTCCAGTGGGAGTATGAAACCCATACACCCTGGAGTTTTAAAGAACAGAGCTTCCAAATGCCAGTGTACCGCTGGATGCTTTGAGAGTCTTGGTGGAATGCAGGTGTAGAACTCGACATTCTCACAGGCTCAGGGGGTACCCGGGCTGCTGCCCTGTGGCTCCTGCTGTCTCAGGCTCAGAGAACAATCTGTGTGAAGATGCAACCACATACAGCTTGGGGCCTGCCAGTTGTGTGCTGGCAATGTAAGTTGATTTTGATTCTCTAGATAAGTTGTTTATTTCTTCTGTGCTTCTGATTGTCAGTTTATTGTGTAGCTCCTCATAGGTACATGGTTATAGATTTGGGTTATAGAAACAAGATCTTTGTAAGTAAACATTGTCCAGTCTCTTTAAGCAGCATAAGTCGGGGAGCTTGTTGAAGTTTGTGTTCCTGTGGGCTGGGGTCTTTGTTATGTTCATCTTGATACATGCAGGGCACTGAGCAGCCTTTCCATTTGTTTCCCATCACCTAGGGAGCTGGTTTCTTACATCGTGGATAGTAGCGATTTGTATAGTCAGGACAGACACTATCTGGCCTGGTTCTATTTACCTTCTGCTGTGATACTAACATTGTGCTGCACCAAACTACACATTTGAGCTGAGTTCTGGAAGGGCTAGCATCAGTACAATAGCTTCAGAAGCTCCATTTACCACTCCAAGATCCAGAACCCATCTTCTGACCAGCAAGATGCCCTCTCTTCAGTGTTTTGTCACTCACCATTTAGAAATGAAATGTGCTAGGGACAACTCGGAATTTTTCAGGCCATTGCTGGCATGCGCCCACTTACATGCAATAACATCCTCCGAATCTCGTTTTTCTGCTTGGCAGCTTATGGATGCATGATGTGAGTTGATGATCCTTGTTTTCTCTTATTCCGTTTCTTAGGTCCTTCCTTTAAAGCAAGCAGTTTGAAAGCTGATAAAAAGTTGGAATTTGTTCCCACAAACTTACACATACAAAGGATGAGAGTTCAAGATGATGGAGGATCAGGTATCTGTTTCTCTGATTTTCTTGTTAAATCACGTTCCATTTCTTCTTCCCCTGGGTGCTTGGTCACAAATTGATCTTCATCTTCCTAGTTTCCCTATAGACTCAGCCTGATGGGCACTTTTGGGGAAGAAACACATCTGAAGGAACTCTGATAGGTCTCAGTTAAGCATCCCAGACCCCTGCCTCTTGACCTTTGCTTTAGGTTTCCCAGTGGGTCTCCATGGCAGGGAGGGGTGCAAGCAGGTGTTTCTGAGTGGCCTCCTGCAGCCTCATGTGGTCCCACCCTCATCAGATAGAACTGCGCTTTGCTGAGGTGGTTGTGCTGGACTCCAGCCTGCCTTCAGAGAGCCTGGGCTATGGGGCAAGTGAGGCAAGGCTGCTTGGAAACAGACCAGAGGGACAGGATCTCAATCGGATATGCATATCCCTGTAGCTGGCTTGTTTGTAGGCCTGAGCCCAGGGTAACAGAGGAGAGCTTTCTGTCATTCAGATCAGAACTACGACATCGTCACCATTGGAGCACCAGCAGCACACTGCCAAGGTTTTAAGTCAGGAGGTCTCCGCAAAAAGCTGCACAAATTTGAAGAGACAAAGAAACAGTAAGTTAACCACAGGGGGTCTCTGGGCCTTATGTGGCTGTGTGATGCCTCTCAGTCCAAAAAGAAATCAAAGTACAACTGCAAAAGCATCCGGCTGTCCAATGCGCTTTTGCGTGGCAGGAGGAGCTGCTGTATGGACCCGGTGTTGCTGTGTGTGTGTGTGTGTGTGTGTGTGTGTGTGTGTGTGTATGACTGAGCTGGGTGGGTGAGGAGGGCACCTTCAAAAGGAGCAGCAAATTATGGTCCACCTTGGAAGCAGTGCAACAGGCAGCCTCCCAGATGGATGTTGCTGGCTTGGTGTCCTGTGGAGTCCCTGGCTAACCTGTCGAGTCCCTCAAGCATGAAGTCTGAAACACGTTGTTTCCTTTCTTAAAGGATAGCAGCAATACACACTCACTGTACAAAGCTACCAACCTGAGTAAGGAACTGGACTGTGCTCTTGGGCTAGAGATGCAGGGATGGCAGGTATAGACCTGACCCTTGGGTGCTGAGGGCCTTGCTCTGAAGCACACGGGTCAGCAGGCACCGTAGGAGGAAGCAGCACCACAGAGAGTGGATGCTGCGGAGCACGGAGTGGACATCAGCACAGCTCTGGGTCAAGGGGCTATAAAGCAGAGCTGTTTGCCCGGATACCTGGGAGGCATGGCTTCTTCTGGAATGTCAACCATCCAAATTTAAATGAGTCAGGGTACAGGTGGTGAAAGACCCCTGGACAGACTACAAAATAGAGGAAGAGGCCTCAAGAGTTCTGATAGTGGAGGGTGATTATGACTTGAGTGTTATGTTGAGGCTGATATGAATAAGAAAGTGAATGAGGCAAGATAGAAAAGTGCGCTTGTCAGGCAGGGTTTTGGTGAAGATAGAGACAGGCACCAGGCAGTTTATCCTGGAAGGACAGAGCGGGTGGGTTGGTATAGAGGGTTTTGAGGATGGATGGAAGGAGCTGAAGTGCTGCTGGAACTGCTTCTGTAGAACATGCAGTTGAAAGGTCAGGCTTCCCAATTAAGAATGGGATATTGGAAGGTGAAGCAAAGTTCCAGGGGGTATCTAGAGACTTCCACAAATGGTCAAGTAGAGCTTCAGGCTTGTGATGAAGTGAACCATTCGGTGACTGTGGTCATATCCAGGACTTAAGAAGTTTGACCTTGAACTGGGATCAGGGAAGGCCTTTGAGACCAGGCAATCACTGAGGGGGGGGGGGTTCTGTAGGACATCTGGAGCATCACTGACCATGCCCAGTGCTGGATGGCCCAGCAGGGAGCAAAAGAGCATGCACTTTAAAAAAAAAGATTTTATCTTACTTTTATTGGAAAGTCAGATTTATAGAGAGGAGGCAAGATAGAAAGAAGAGCTTATGTCTGCTGGTTTATTCCCCTAGTGGCTGCAGTGGCCGGAGCCAAGCGGATCCAAAGTCAGGAGCCAGGGGCTTCTTCCAGGTCTCCTACATGGGTACAGGGTCCCAAGGTCTTGGGCCATTCTTTATTTCTTTTCCAGGCCACACACAGAGAACTGGATAGGAAGTGGTGCAGTTGGGACCTGAACTGGTGCTCATATGGGATCCCGGCGGATGCAAGGCGAGGATTTAGCCACTAGGCTATTGAGCCAGGCCCAAAAGCTTACACTTTTACATGACACTCCTCAGATGTGTTCACAAACTACCTTAGGTTAGAGGGAGTCCAACAAATCTGGAAATAGGAGAAGGAGAAACAAGGATTGGAGTGCATTTTTTGAAAAAAGATTTATTTATTTTTATTACAAAGTCAGATATACAGAGTGGAGGAAAGTCAGAGAGGAAGATCTTCCATCCGATGATTCACTTCCCAAGTGACCGCAATGGCTGGTGCTGTGCCGATCTGGAGCCAGGAGACAGGAACTTCCTTCCGGGTCTCCACGCAGGTGCAGGGTCCCAAGGCTCTGGGCTGTCCTCGACTGCTTTCCCAGGCCACAAGCAGGGAGCTGGATGGGAAACAGGGTCGCTGGGATTAGAACCAGTGCCCATATGGGATCCCGGCGTGTTCAAGGCAAGGACTTTAGCCGCTAGGCCATACCGCCAGGGCCTGGAGTGGATTTTGACATTTCCTGGGACGCCCTCCCAGGCAGCATGCTTGACCTTGACTCAGTCCCACCAAGGGCACTTCGCTGTGCAAACATCTGATAAACAGATCTGCCTTGGGATTCGTGGACTCCAGCATTCCTTAGGGAACTAGAAAGACAACAAAGCTTCCCGTGCCCAACGCAGCTCTGCACAGCTAGCCAGAAAAGTGTGTCTGTCGCTCCATTGCATGTTGCCATGTGGACGGTGTGACTGTGCGATTGGAGGTGGCGTGGGGCCCCCGAGAGAGAAAGCTCCGTAATTCAGTGTGACCAGTCAGGAGGGGGCTGCCTGACTGCTCCTGGCCCAGCAAGGCTGGTGAGTCTGATTACTGCATTGCTCTGCACGTTAACTTCAGTATTCTTTATTCCCCCAAAGGCCTCTGTGTTTTTTTCAGTTATATAGCTTAAATTTTTGTCTGCTATCCTTAATGTCATAGAACCACCAGCAGAAGTGGTTTTGCCCTGTGGGAAGTTTGCTCTGAACATAGGTGTCGCTTGCACCCCAATAGGCTGCCTGCCTCAGACCAGAAGGCAGTGAAGTCACTCTGATGGGTAAACACACTGGGCTTGTGGGTTTGGTTCTTCTTGTACTTGACACCTCCACAGATACTTTTGACCATTTTTTTTCTCAAGAATTGATGTGGCTTTTTAGTGTTTTGTTTGTTTGTTCTGCTTCTGATATTTGCTAACAAACTGTTAATATTGCATTTTGGTTCTTTTCTTTAGCAGTTTTGAGGAGTGTTGGTGAGTTTTCTGTCTGTGGAGAGAGTGTCTGTTCGGTCTTGCCCTCATGCAGAGAAAGCTTGTGCTGTCGCCCCTACCCCGTGTGGTGTGTCATCCCGTGGTGCTGTCACGGGCTCCCAGTGCTGCACCTCATAGACAGAGCTCTCTGTTCCAGCTGCAATGCTCTTTGGGAATGAATAGCCCTTCTGCAGCCCACCATGACACCTTGCAGTCCTGGCATTCCGAGGACAGCCCCGTTCTCCCAGGCTGAGGAAGAGGCCCCTGACCTCGGAGAGCCAGGACCTCAGCACAGTGGGACATCCATTCCTGTTGTCTTTCCTAAGAATCTTGAGCCTTTTCAGTTTTCACATCACCCTCACCTCTTGTAAGGAGGAAACTGGTGTACATTTTCATGATCTCATACAGATTTTTTTAAATAATATAGTTCTGGGGGAATTTTATCCCCAGGGAGGAGGGCAACCAGGGACGAACATTAACTGAGTGACTTTCTCCACCAGAGAACCAGAGGGCAGTCAGAGCCTCCTGTGCCTGGGAGTCTGTAGCGCTGCTCCAGGTCCTGAAGAGAGTCTGTGAAGAACCCCACCCTTCTGAGGCTCTTCATCCTGGGCACAGGGCTGGAGCCAGGAATCCATGAGCCTCTGGCCCTGTAACTGGGCCCTTCTGGGGTGTCTTAGCTATGAGGGGGAATCTGACAGAAGGAAGTCCTGGGGCACCCCTCTCCCCACGCACACCCAGGCTGAGGCCTCTTCAGCTTTCCTCTAAGGGTCTGTTCGCCCAGGGGAACCACAGGTATAGGGAGCAGAGGAGGGCCACAGGGGAAGGAAAATCTCACAGCTTCTGCAGAAATGGCCTTTGGGCTCTCTCCCGACCTTTTAATTCTGGGGCCTCAACAAAGATCACCCTTTCCCCATAGAAAGTCAGTTAAGCACCTAATGTTAGGTCTGGGGATGAGAGTATAGACCTTGGGACAAGAGGAGCTGAAGGCTTGCTGCCAAACAAGCTTGCCCATTGTCAGCTCCCAACCCAAGTGTCTGGTGGAACCTTATCTGGAAGTTCCTAGGGAACTGAGAATAGACTTTCCCTGGCCCCACTGAGTCTGGTTCCCCTCAGGCCTGCATCACCTCTTCTCCAGGACTTCCCTGGAGACAGGTAGGGGATGAGGCGTGGGAAGGTAAACACAGGGGCACTATGTCCCACTTAGAACCTCCATCCTGCTGGTCCTCTACCTTCTGGGAACCGGCTCCATAGAGGTTCATGCTCTGCGAGGGGAGCTCTGCGCTTGCTGTTACTCATCAGCCGCCACCGTTCCAAGGCAGTACCAAAAGACTTTTATTTTTTTTTAAATGGCTATTATTCCCCATGTTTTTAAAAATCTTTTAAGATTTATTTCTTTTTATTGGAAATGCATATTTACAGAGAGAGAAAGAGAGGCAGAGGGAATGAAATCTACATCCCATTGGTTCACTCCCCAAATAGCACAAAGGCCAAAGCTGAGCTGATCTGAAGCCAGGAGCCAGGAACTTCTTCTGGGTCTCCCATGTGAGTGCAGGGGCCTAAGCACTTGAGTTCTGCTGTTTTCATATGCCATAAACAGGGACTGGAACAGAAGTAGAGCAAGAGGGACACAAACCAGCACCCATGTGGGATGCCAACACTGCAGGCAGCAACTTAGCCCTTTATGCCATAGTGCCATATGTACCTCTTCAGTTTAGCCCATGACACACCATGTAGGCTGAAGTCTGTGGGTCTGGAGTGGGGAACTAATATTTGATTCCAGAACCACACCTAGCATACTGCCTCCCGGGGCTACCCAGCAGGAGCACTGGGAACACTGGGTGGTCAAAGGGCGCCCAAGTCTCTTTGCCTGGCTTAAGATGCCCTGAGAGCACATGTGTCCCGAACAGCAAGGTGTCCATACCCTCCCGGCCTCCCTGTTCTGAAGGGCATGTGCCCGTCATGTACAGCAGCAGCTTTTTGAAGTTTGCCCTTTCTCACCCCGCCTCCCCCCATTCATGTCCTATGCATGAAGCCCAGGTGCTTCTGTTAGAACATGGCTTATGATGACACAGAGTGATGTCTTTCTCAGCTTGGCGGGAGGTTATGTATGTGTTGAAGGGCACACAATCACCCACAGACACGGAAGTAGTTCTGCATGTGTAATGCAAATGTTGGGGAACTGGGAAGAGCAGATTTTCAAATTCCATTTTCAAACTCTCTGAAGTGGCAGCTATTCATTTGGAAGAGCGATTGCAGCCTGGAAAGCAGCCGTGTGCCTAAGGCACTCTGTGGAATGACTCGTCGCACCACGTGGCCTCAGTTGTAGTCTGCTGCATGGCTGCTGGCACATCCATTGTTCGTTCTCATGCTGTGGGGGCCGATGTAGTGGCGTTCCTCTCTGGGGTGCTTTGGCTTTGGTGCTTGCATGTTTGCCCTGTAGTCTGCTAAGGACAGGGGCAGCAGCAGTGTCTTGGTGAGCCCTTTTCAAGTGTCCCTGGAAGGGGCCCAGTGCAGAAGGTTCTCAGGCTTGAGCAGGGAGACCACATCTCCAGGGGAGCAGTGGATACTGTGGAGAGAGGCATCATGTCCTCAACTTTCCTCCTCCTCCCAGAACTCCAAGGGCAGCTCTTTGAGGGACTGTGCATGGTCCTTCATCCTGGAAAAGACACCCAGGGCTCACGCCTTCCATTGAAAGAGTCCTCCTTGCTGCTTTCCTCGGCTTCTTTGAGTGGTCTGAAAAAAAGACCTGTTGGATTGGATTGTGATCTGAGTTGAGAAACAAGCAGTTTATTATTGCTATCTAGTGGGACCACACGTGTCAGCTCTACCCCGTGCTACCAGGGAACATGAAGTCTCCAGAGGTTTTTGGCTTGTGCCTGACAGTGGCTGGGCTATACCTTCCACATCACCCTCCATTCACTTGCTGTTGGGTGGTGAGGAGGCAGGAAGAAAGAAGAACCAGGGCATCAAGCCACTGAGGCGTCAGGGGTTCACTTTGGTTTGGCACATTGTTTACTTCCTCTTCAGCTGTCAGATGAGGGTTTTTCAAAGCAGGGAGGTTCTGGAGCAGGAGGGAGGGCAGAAAGCTAAAGTTTCTGGAGATTTGCTGTTTCAGGCACATGAGGGAGAATTATGGGACAATTCTCAGAAAGTGCCGAGTAGCCAAATGAGTAAATATTTTGAGGTAGTGGTTTTGTGTTGTTGTTTTTGCCCAAGTCCAACACATGTGCGGGCTCTCCCTTCACTGTGAAAACCTGACTCTTTCTGGTGTAAGCAGACCCCATGTCTCCACTAAAGTAGTACCTGTAAGTTAACAGACAGGGGTTCTTAGGTCAGGATTGGGAGTACACTGGGTCTGATTGTTAAGTATCTACCTACGTATACATGGCATAAAATGTACAGATATGTACACATATGGATAAAAGACTTAGGCGTGTTGTTGTAGCTCAGGCTTCTACCATATACTCAAAAAGATAGTCTCTCTTTTAAAGATTTATTTATTTTTATTGAAAAGGCAGATCAGATTTATGGAGAGGAGGAGAGACAGAGAAAAAGATCTCCCCAGATGGCCACAATGGCCAGAGCTGAGCAGATCTGAAGCCCGGAATTGGGAGCTTCTTCCAGGTCTTCCATGCGGATGTAGGATCTCAAAGCTTTGGGCCAAGGCTGTCTTTTTGCCCAAAAGCAACTAGACTAGCTGAGAACAACTTTGCAGAGTAGCAGAATGTCTTATATTAGGGTTACTTGTTAGCTGCTGGGATGCTGCTGCCATTCACACTGACTGAAGAGATCCCTAAGAATCAGTTGTTGTCCTTTTTAGCACATCGTCTGGCTGTCAGTCCATAATCTACATACCACAGGACATTGTCAGAGCCAAGGAGATCATCGCCCAGATCAATACGCTGAAAACTCAAGTTAGTTATTACGCGGAACGGCTCTCAAGGGCAGCTAAGGACAGGTCTGCCACTGGCCTTGAGAGGACACTTGCCATCTTGGCAGACAAGGTAGGAGGAGCCAACTTGCTGCATGTGGGCCTGGGGGTTCCCTGGGGTGTTTAAAAGCCACTGGGCAACATACAGGGGCCCGGCATGACTACAGCTATCCACAGAGTCGGAAGGCCTTGAGGGGCACATTGAGGGACTATCTTTAGGGCCATTTCTCACACAGACCCAAGAAGGTTTGGCGATTTTTTTTTTTTTTTAAATCACAGATCTAGATTGGCCAGAGCCCAGGGCTCATGACTCAAGTGCTGCTCCATGCTTACATGTCTTGCATCAAGTGCAGTTCTACAGCACTCTTAGCCATGGCTTAATCAACACTTCATTTTTGCTGCATTTTTATTGTGCTTAATTTTGAGAAAATATACCGCCATCAGGTAAAAGCAGTGTCTTATTAGCACATATGTAGTCGGTAAATGGATTTCTAATGAGAACTATATCTTGATCCTGTTTTGAAAATGCGTAAATGTTTGGAGTTTTCAAAAAGTGCATAGTGAATGCTTATAATGCAGAAACTATGCATCAATTTCAATTTTGGGGGAGCACCAAAATAAACTTTTAACTTTGATTTTCCAGAAAATTGTTTTAAGTGCCTTCCATGCTGAGGGAATGGGTACATCAGATGTTTATAACGGATGATTTTTTTTTTCTGTATTTCTCCAGCTCTGTCAATACACACATACTATACTCACACACACAGATTCTAATGGCACCTCCCCACCCACATTCACTCTTCTGGAGTGAGCGGCTGTTCCTCATCAGAACATGTATTCACATAGGAGAAGATGGAGAGCTGGGAAATAAAGATTTAATTGTCAGCAGTACAGTTGTGAGCCACAGAGTCCCTGTACTGGGTGTCCAGTTATCCAGAGCCTAGGACTTTGGAGATTCAATGCTGAGATGTAAAAAAAACAAGGTGTTGGTCACTGAGTCAAAGAAATTAAGTTGGGACAGAGCCCGGAAAGTCAGTCCGGGTTGGGACACTTGCCCTCCTGAGGAATGTGGCAGGGTGGATGGGAAGAAGGCCAGGCCTCCACTTGTTCACCCCTCTGAGAAAAGGCAGGTCTTCCTGGCCCTCACCCAGACCCAGCAGTCCTGGTTTCTGTGTGCCTACAGACCCGACAGTTGGTTACAGTCTGCGACTGCAAGCTGCTGGCCAACTCCATCCATGGGCTGAATGCAGCACGGCCTGACTACATTGCCTCCAAGGCCTCCCCGACCTCGACTGAGGAGGAGCAGGTGATGCTTAGGAATGACCAGGACACCCTTATGGCCAAGTGGGCAGGGAGAAACAGCCGCTCTTCCCTTCAGGTGGATTGGCACGAGGAGGAGTGGGTAAGTGTACTGCCCGGGCCCATCATCAGGCATGCTACTGAGCTTGGGTTGAAAACTGTGACGTCCCTTGCCAGTCACCCTGCCTCTGAGGGGTCAAAAGGGTTGGCTCCTCTGTGAACAGATCCAGGTTTCTTTGCCTGATGGCTTTTGGAACACCCAGTGTGGGAGAGAGGCTTTGCAAACCTTTGTGTCCATACGGAGAGCAAGGCTGTGCTGGGGGCTGAGCTGCTTCACCCCTGATTGGCAAGGAGTCCTTGCCCTGATGGAGCCTTTCCTCCCTTCTGGCCGCCTCTGTCCTCTGTGTGGCTGGTGCTGCAGCCCAGCTGAGCCTCTCTTGCTTCCTGTCTGCTCTGCTCAGCAGCGGCCCTGCTGTGGGGCCTGTCATTTCTGGAGATGTGGGAGCTCAGGTCAGGATTTGGGGACCACTGCTCTAACGTTGCCCCATGGAGCTTGCCCTGAGAGTGCAATGTGTGTCTCTTGAGGGAGGCACCTGGCACAGCTTGTCATTTGTGAGATTCCTGAGTTACAGAGTCGTTCTATAGCTCTGTTCTCCTAATCAGGATTTCTAAGGATCACTCTGTCTCTCTCACCTCCTCTTCCCTCTTGATCTTGTTTCCATTTCCTCCAGTTCCCTCTGTTCAGTGGTTATAAGAAGTCTGCACACAAAAGAGGAGGAGAAGGGACCAGGTCACCAGGCCTTGGGTCTCTTCTGCCAGTACTTGCAGGCTGTTTGTCCTCTTTGAGAGTTACTAATAGTTCCTGAACTTTCTAAACAATGACCATAGGCCATTGACTCACCAATTTAAATAGGAGATCAGGAATCTCCTAATTGGTACTTCTGTCTTTGGGTCCTTTAAAGAACCTGGTGGTCCAGGGTGGGGACCAGCAGAGGGTTGCTGGTCTGTGTTGTTCATCTCACTGGGAAAGCTGACCCAAATAGTCCTTTTTGGTTTGGAAGGAGAAAGTATGGCTGAATGTGGACAAGAGCCTGGAGTGCATCATCCAGCGAGTGGACAAGCTGCTGCAGAAGGAACGCCTGCATGGCGAGGGCTGTGAGGATGTCTTGCCCTGCACAGGCAGCTCCACCAGCAAGAAAGGTAACCAGGACGGCCATGCCTACTGGATCAGACCGGAGGACCCCTTCTGCGATGTCCCCTCGTCGCCATGCCCCTCCTCCATGCCTGCTGCATGCCATCCTCACTCAGCCACACGTGCGTATGCATCCATGCTTCTCACGCACCACTCCCACCTCCACCTTGACTTTGTGCTGTGTCGCTTCTGTTGATCTATGTCTTCCTGCCTTCCTGCCTTCCTCCCGCACGCAGACTGCAGGGTTTCCAGGTGGAGCAGGGGAATCTCAGTGTATGCAGCAGTAAAACAGTGAGCGCAGACTACTGTGTGTGAATCTGCATCTCTACCAAGGCAGAAGCTCAGGGCCCTCCTTAGGTCACACTATGTTGGAAGTAATGCTGGGCTCCTGGGTCTTCCAGGTTCTTAAACCACCTTGTGAACCTGAAGGAAGCCTGGAGGCAGGTTACCTTTTGATAAGGTTGTGCATTGCATTAGAAGTAGTGGAATGAAGGAAAAGGTGAGTTGTGCAAGGTCATCACTGGACGGACATTAGCAGGCCTGTGGACCTGCCTGAAGACTGATTGTCATGGCTGGGTATGCTTTTGTCTAGCAGAGGCGTATACCAGGGCACTTGGTGGCTCACAAGTTAGTGCAACCTCTCTGCTGGGCCTCTGGGGGCCGTTAAGTTCACCTGTTCTGCACCATCTTTTAGGAAATCCTCAGTAGATGGTAGTGCCATAACAACAAACAAACTGGTTCAGGCACCATCTTCGTCTGTCTGTAGAGGCCTGGGGTGTACAGCTTTAAATCAGGGGGCATGTGTCTTCAAACAGGCAGGTCCTTGGTTGCTGCTGTCAGTGCCTCCTGCCTTTTCCCTAAGCATGGGAGAGGGTTATGGGCAGGTCAGCTCGCTGCAGAGTCATCTTCTGCCTCCTCTTTGCTCTCCTGTGGGCTTTCAAGTCATAGCAAGTAAGACCCAGGTATACCAAGGATTGGGCATCTTAGAAATGGGAGCATTTAAAATCCTTGTTGGGAAATCTCCACTCAGAGCAGAACCGTGCTCCTTTGTCAGAGCCTGTTGATGAACCTTCTTTCCTTTGTAAGATGCCATTTTCTTCTTTAGTCTGCCTGCAGTCTGTTTCCTGGGTGTTGTCTCATTTGAGCCTCTGTTTCAACAGTATTCACATCATCCACTTTTCCATCTGTGGGGGACTGTGGTTTATCCTCCCCAGCCCGTGATTTCATGGAGCTATTTTGTCTGTCTCTACTTGTGTTCTTTTGTTTTTCCTTAATGTAAACTGTTATTTTTCAAATTTCTGAAACTTTGTTACTTATTTCTCTTGTTATTATCTTGTTTGTAATTTATTTTTTTCTGCAGATGATATGGACTTTTTTTAAAAAAAAAAAAAGCAGGAGCTAATTGTTTTAATCAGAGATGTTAATTCTTTCATAACTTAACTTATTCCCCACCCTTCAGGTACATGGCTTAAATATAAGGAAATTCAGTTTTATAGTTATTTAAATGGACATTTGTTTGTGTTACTCAGGGTTTGACTTGTGCTCGTGTGCCATACGGACCAGCTCTGTTGTAATGATGGGAAACAAAGCATACATTTGAGAGAGCCTAACTCAGCTGATCAGTGGTCAAAGGAACCAATGAAACCAAATGCCATTCAGTTAATGACTCTTATACCCTTACTTGACATAATTTTGGTGGAGTGGGCGAGCTGCTCAGACCATAGTGTCAGCAGGGGGCAAAGACCAGATGGTGAGCTTCTTGGAAGGGGCTTCCAAAAGTTCATGAAAAAAATTAAAGTAAGAGATATGTGCATTTCCACAAACTTTTTGAAGATGCCAGATCTTACTTTACAGGGGTACTTCAAAAATTTGGTGGGAAGCTGAACTAAAAGATAAGTTTATTTTGAAGATCTTTGAAATTCATTCATACATATGCTGATCTTCAAAAATTTATATAAAAGTTCATATTAATGAAAACACTATGCATGGATTTCAAGATTGGGGGGGGGGGCACAAAAATAAACTTATCTATTACTTGAATTTTCCATGAACTTTTTGAGGAATCCAGTGTTTTGGTGACTAGCTTGTCCGCAGCACCAGACGGGCTAGCCAGGGGAAAGCTAGAGACACACCCACTAACAAGTCCCTGCTGACTGGAACCATAGACACTGCAGGCTCCTCTCTTTATTTCCTCACAAGTGCTCCAAATTCCTTCCACGCCTGTAGCCTGCCCAGGATCACTCCTTTTGCCCCATCAGTATGGGGCAGCTTCCATTGTCTTCCCTGTGTGTTCTGTGAGTCACTTGGATTTCAAACCAGTTTTTCTTGCACCAGATGTACTCCACAATAGAGCATCCTTGAGTGTGCTGAAATGTGAATGTATGTGAAAAGTCCACATTAAATTTAAAGGCCATTAAATCTGAAGGGACTCAGTGACTTAAGATACGTGACAGGTCATTGTCAGGAGTCCTACAGCATGAACACTTCCCCTCACCGCCCCCAGTTAAAAGATAAACTGGGTTTAATTCCTGTTGCATTCCCAAGAATGGTTCCAACCAGCCATTTGGGATCACCACAGAACCTCCTAAACAGGATCCTAGGCCTGCCTTCTGATGCAAGAACCTGGAGTCCTGGAGCAGGAGTTTGGTGGGGAAGCAAGAATCTGTATCTTTCTTTTTTCCAAGGCCTGGGGCAGTTCTCATTGGCCAGACATGTTTAGTAGCCACTGCTCAGCATCACTCCCCACCACCAAGGCTTTCTCTGTATGATCTGGGTGGTCTCAGGATGTTGGGTTATACCAGCAGTTGGACTTGTCAACTTGGCAGCTTGCTGCTTGATTGAAAGGCAGCCTCTTTGAAACACTTGCATTCCACATTGGAGTGTCTGGTTTGAGTCCAGGTTACTCTACTTCCAATTCAACTTCCTGCTAATGGACACTCAGAGAGGCAGCAGATGATGGCTTAAGTACCAGGAAATCTGCCACCCATGTAGGACTCCCGGAGAGAGTCACTGGCCCCTGGTCACAGCCTGGCTCAGCCCTGGAGGTTGCAGAGATCTGGGGAGTAAACCAGTAGATGGAAAGATCTTTTTCTGTTCCTCTGCAAAATGAAAAATATATTCTTTCTTTCTTTCTTTTTTTTTTTTTTTTTTCCAGTTTAGAAGAGTTGTAACTACTTCTGCCTGTTCTTGGGATCCTTGAAACCACTTTGTTTCGATATCCTGAAAACATTCTTAGAATGTCCAGGCACAATGAAAAATAAACTTTTGTTCCTGTGCTCCCTTCAAACTTGTTTTCTTTTTCTTTTGTTAAGATTTATTTATTTATTTGAAAGGCAGAGTTAGAAGGAGAGGGAAAATCTTTCATTCCCTGGTTTGCTCCCTAAATGACTGCAACAGCTAGGGCTGGGCAAGGCCAAAGCCAGGAGCTAGGAAGTTCTTCCAGGTCTCCCAGGGGGGCCAGAGGTCCAGGTGCTTGGAACATCTCCCTCCACTTTCCCAGGAGCTTTAGCAGGGAGCTGAATAGGAAGTGGAGCAACTGGGACTCCAACCAGTACTCCTATGGGATGCTAGCAGCACAGGCAGTGGCTTAATCCACTGTGCCACAGCACTGGTCCCTCAAGCTTGTTTTCTGTAAGATGGCACCTCAAGCTGACCAGGAATTTTAGAGTTTTGAAGGGAAATGTGAAACTGAAATGAGTATTTCCCCAGTGACTCAGTGTAGATCAATCAGTACTCTTTGAGGACTTGAAGAGACCTAATTCGGAGACTTCACAGGTTATAAAACTTTCACATTTGGTTTAAATCTTCAAGGGTTTTTGGTGTATTTATCTCATTGGTGGATCTTAACATTTTAGATCTTAGCAGTTGCCGTTGAGCCTAGACTTCCCCAGTGAATCAGGATGGCGAGTTCTGTGGGAAGTGGCTGTACTCAACGTGCTGGTCAGTCTCATCACAAGTTTGCTTCCAGATGTTGGGTGTCCGCATGGACTGTGCCACTGCAATGTGACTAATGCGTTATATATAAATCACATAGTAGCACATTAGTTCACTCGTCCAAAGAACATTTGATGTTGAAGTATGAGCAACATGAATGTTGAGGCTGGTGAGTCCAGCATTGCCCACCCTAGGAAGTCTCAATTGCCTTGGAGCAGCCTGACTGCTTTCCAGAGACTTCTAGGGGAAGAGGCCTTGCCTCCCCAGTCCACGTCGCTACAGGCTGGCTGCAGAAGCAGCTGCCTGACATTGAGTTGCTTGTGTTGGAACTGCGTGCTGCTCCTTAATCATCCGTGTTACCCTCCGTTTCTGTGCAGATTGCAGTCCCCCTCCTGAAGAGTCCAGCCCAGGTACGTGGTTTCCGTTCAAGGCTCCCGCCGATGTCTTTACTATTCAGGTAGCGTGTGTAGCTCAGTTACCTAAAGATTGTTTTATGCTGCTAGAGTTGCAAAAGAATTTTCTGTTGTGTAGTGTGTCAGACTCCATAGGTTTGATGAGAGGCCAGGTGAACTGAGGGAATTGTAGCCTGGAGCTACCACATGCAAACCTTGTAGGTGTGTCATAAATATTCCTGAGTTGTGCTAGGCTTCCTGAAGTAGGTGACTTGTCCTAGAGATACCTTCAAATGTTTGTAATGATGCTCCCTGTGTGACCACCTGCACTTGGGAGTGGTACTCTGAAACATAGCCGTTGGGAAAGCCACCAAATGTGACCTTTCTCATCACCAAGCGTTCTCTCTTCTGAGTCTGAGTGCAGCTTTTGAATTCTTCCTGTTGACATGGGCCTCAGTTAGAATTAGTGCCAGAATCCTTTTGCAGTGTTTGCATTTAGAAGCCGATATTTACATAGAAGCAGATATTTACGTTTCTAGTTCAGGGGTTGGCAAAGTAAAGCTCGGGGCTAACTCTCCCATAGTCTGTGCTTGTAAATAATGTTTCTTTGGAAACCAGCTATGCCCACCCATTCCTACATTGTTTCTGGGTACTTTTTGTGTGGCAGCATCAGATTTGTTAACAGTTGCCTAAAGTATTTACTGTCTAGGCCTTTACAGAAAAAGTATTCCGACCCCTGATCTAGTTCCGGTGGAGCTTCTGAATATGGCTGTGGTTTCCCCAGAGCGAGCATGAGCACTCCCCTGACCCCCCATAATATGGTTGGTCTGTTGATTTGTTAAACTGCAAAATCATGGACACAATCAACTCAAAAATTGCCTATTTCTGGCTGGATGTAGATGCTATGGCAGGGTAGTCCATCTTGGTGTAAAGCACAGCTGACCAAGGATGGGGGAAGATGTCCTGATCCGTTCTGTCACTTGTTACTACCCCTGTTTTCTCTCCCAGCACAATGGATCAGCACACAGTGGTGGCACTGGTGGCAGCCCCGCCCCACCACCAATCTGATTAAACATATTCTTAGCTCTATTTACTTTTACCAGTATTTTGTTGGTCTTTTCCAAAAAATCACCGTTGGCTTGAGGAGGTGTCTTAAACCCTGATCCCTTCAACCCTCTAGGTCACTGGGGCCTCTGTAGGTACATAGCAATTTATCCTTGGTCTCTTCCTCCCTGTTACCTGCCTTGGATCCATGTCTTTCCTTCCTCTATGATTTCTGTTGCTGGGCATCTTACCTCCTCAGCTCACCTAGACGTGGGCCAGTATCTTGAAGCTGAGCTGTCTCCCAAGACTCGGTGGTGAAGTGTGGGCTCATGCCCACCTGTGAGCATCAGGAGAAGGGAGGTTGATTGATGAGCCCCCCAACCCCCGAGGACTGGGGTCTCCTGGAGTCTGCAGAACTACACTTGATCTTAGCTAAAACGCCAAGAAGCAATTGGAGTCTGTAGAACTAAGTATCATCCCAGACAGCACACAGAAAATGCTGATCAGTAAAACTGTTTTTGCCAGTTGCATCATTTCTAGAAGTGCTGGTGGCTTTTCCATAGTTGTCATTAAATGGACTAAAATGGTCCCCTCCCAGAGGTTCTTTTGGTTTTGCCTGTAGAGCTGTGTTTTCTTTGTGTTAAAACACATACACATATAAACACACTGTCTCTTTCACCCTTCTCTACAAATGGAGGGGGGCGGCAAAATAAGTAGACATGGCCCATGGACTAGCTAGCAGTCAGCAAGTATCACAGGTTAGCTGGGAGCTGAGGAGTCCCACGTGTCACTGCGGCTCTGCAGTGTCCAGGGCCACACACTCACATTTTCCATTTTTCAATCCAGTGTTCTTTATTGCTGTGACTGACTTATTAAGACCTTGCTGCTGTAGACTTTTCTAAATTTAAGCCTGCCTTTTTCCATTACAGATATAAAGCATTGTCTACAGTGTGCCCACATACTCAGTTAGACCTTTCCCAACTTGTAAACTTTTAGATGTTCTTAAAAATCTGCAACAATAACATATAGTGCATAAGGAATTCTTGTGCATGTCCCAAGTTTTCCTCTAAGTTTGTCTTTCCACAAAGTGCTAACAATACAGGTTATTGTAGGCCGAGTATCCCTTCTTCCAAACTTTCAGATTGTGTTTATTGATGATCAAGGTCACCCTTCTGGCTGGAGAGTGGCATGTTCTAGCTCTTCCTGTGACTCATGCCCTCATCCCAAGAGGACCTGTACTGCTGGACACACTGTTTCACACCATGTTTGGGGCAAAGGGCTAACCAAGTGATCATGGGCCAATACCCATTTCAAGGCTTGGTGACCAGTCTGAAGCTTCAGATATAAAAATAAAACTGATGAGGGCATACTGTCTCTTTTAAAGGCCTTCTGAATAGGAAGTGAAAGGAAGAATCAAGCCAAGGATGTCTGTGAACCTGTTTTTCTCCCTCCAGGCTCTCTGTCTAATAAGTTATTTTGGTACAATATCAAAGTTTCCCTTATATTTCTGAAAGAAAACTTGGGCTAGAAATAGATGGTCCCAGGCTGGAAGGAAAGGGGTTAGCAACACGTCTAAATATTGAACATTACTCCCAAGAATTGGAAATGTGGAAGTCACATGGTGCAGTCTTTCCTCCAGACATGGAAAGTGAGAATTTAACCCAGATGCATAAAAGCCTGGGTGAGGGAGGAGTTGGTCCTTGGCTGCAAAAGGATGGGCTCTCAGTCTTCCATCTTGGGTTGAGACAAGTGAGATGACAGATCTTTTTCCCACTATCCCTGGAGGGAGGGAGGAGCTTGGGGCTTGAGAATTAGAACATTGTGCCACTTCTAGCCTGAGCATAGAATCAGTTAGGCTCACAGGATATAGAAGGGGTTGAGAAGGGGTAATGGGGAAGATGGATCAGTGGCACCCTACCAACTTTCTAGGACCTGAATTTGAAATCTTCATAGATGTAACCATCCCTGTGCCCATGCCCAGGTGAATGGAGTGAGGCCCTCTACCCGCTGCTGACCACCCTCACAGACTGTGTGGCCATGATGAGCGACAAGGCCAAGAAGGCGATGGTCTTCCTCCTCATGCAGGACAGCGCTCCCACCATAGCCACATACCTGAGCCTGCAGTACCGCCGCGATGTGGTCTTCTGCCAAACCGTAAGCTTCGGGAACGCTAGAGGGAGGCCATGTGTACCTCATGGTCTCCTTCAGACATAGTATGCAGAAGCCCCTCTCCCTTCCCTTCTCTTACACACAGCCCCAGGGGGCCACATTGTCTCCTCCCTGTTGCTTGTCAGTTGGTGTAACAGGAAATTCTAGATTTGAACACAGACTCTTATGCTCTCAATATGTATTCACTTCTTCCCTGAGATCTGGCACTGGCTGGCTCTGTGGGCTGTGCAGAGGTGGGGGTGTGCAGATGGCCCCTTGGCTGCCTTGTCTGGGTTTTCCACAGAGGAGCTCCATGGGGACATCAGAGGCACGCGCTGTCAGCACAGTCTATTACATAACTCCATGTTAATGCTTTCTCTTGCCTTTCAGAGAAAGGTTGGGATGAATGGCACATTCTAACAGTTACCCATAATTGAGTTAATAAAGTGAACAGCAAGACAGGTTTGGGCTGGCTTTTGCACTTCTCCCACCTATGGGAGCACAGCTGGTTGCTCCCCGCAGAAAACCTCCCACTGAGAAGCCTCTTCCTGACCACATTCTCTCACTTCTACTCCATGCTGGGGCATCCTCAGTGTCTACCCAGAACTGGTGTGGCTTGTGGGGAGTTAATTCTGAGCTTCTGGAAAGTTCTAGACCTGAAGTCATGTCAGGCACTCCAGGTTGGAGGTTGAGCCAAAGCCAAGTGCACCTTTGGAATGGACAGGGATGGTGAAATCCCAGCATAGTATTCCCCCTCCCCCACTCCATGGCTTCTGCCAGTGCAAACTCCCCTGAAGAAGGAGAGGCTGCCAAAGCCCCTATGAGCATGGCAGGCAGAGGAAACCAGGCCAGCTGTTGTTGGTGAGCAGGTGTCTGTCCCCATCGCCATTTTTTTTGTGTCCCTGCAGCTGACTGCACTCATCTGTGGCTTCATCATCAAGCTGAGGAACTGCCTACATGATGACGGCTTCCTGCGGCAGCTCTACACCATCGGGCTGCTGGCCCAGTTTGAGAGCCTGCTGAGCACCTACGGTGAGGAGCCCACGGGGCTTGGGGTCAGAGGCTGTGGTTCCAGGGTACTCCCAGCCTTGCCTCCTGGCTGGTTTTCCTGATGACAGGACTAACAATGTGCAGGTTGAAATACATACTGACATAGCCCCAATACATAGCATAACACCAAACAGAAGTCTGGTATAGGCACACACCCCTCCTTGATTCTGTTCTTTGGCTGTGTGTCTTGTATTTTGAAGATCTTTCTGGTTGAGATGGGCAAAAGTCATTTAACCAGCAGTACCTGGCTGGGCTGTCTGATTCTGGATTGTTGCTTTTAAGCCAGCGCTGCAAGGGTGCCTGTGTGCAGAGGCCACTTCTCAGCCCTCTGTTGGGACCACTAACAGAATCACTGGGTCAATGGCTAGGGATATTTTTAAATTTGGTAACTATTTCTAAGTTGCCTTCTGGGGGGAAAAATAGAAAAGGCTGCCTTCTTCCTAGTTGTGGTTCCTGTTGTTTCTGAGTAGATGAAAATAGACACCCCTTTATTTTGGCATTTGTCCACCTTCGGTGCTGTAGGAGACTGAGTAGATGCCAAGCCCTGGCACATGGAAGGATCTGGTCACAACAGTGCCTCTCTCCATGTTAAAGGAGGTAGTGCTGCCATGGGGCGGGCAGAGGGGATGTGTCCTGCTTTTCTATATGTCTCCTCATAGCCCTGTGGTTGACCCAGAAAAGACTGGGGAGGATGGTACATGTCCCCACCAGCTGCATCTGTGATGTGGCACTGGAGGGCTGTGGTAGTTTACTCACAGAAGGGATGAACTCAAGCTCAGCACTGTGGCCTAGCGCCCAAATTCCTTGCCTTGAACGTGCCAGGATCCCATATGGGTGCCAGTTCTAATCCTGGCAGCCCGGCTTCCCATCCAGCTCCCTGCTTGTGACCTGGGAAAGCAGTAGAGGACAGCCCAAGCCTTAGGACTCTACACCCGCATGGGAGACCCAGAGGAGGCTCCTTGTCCCTGGTTTTGGATCAGCTCAGCTCTGGCTGTTACACTCACTTGGAGAGTGAATCAGCAGACAGAAGATTTTTAATCTCTGTCTCTCTCCCTCTCTGTATATCTGACTTTGCAATAAAAATAAATCTTAAAAAAAAAAAAAAGAAAGAAGGGATGACTCAGACAGGCCCTCCTGCCCACTTCTCACCCTTCATCATCTGTGTCTGCTCCTAGCTAAGACTGTGCCAGGCTGGGTAGAGTACCAGGGCCTCTGCTGAACAGCCTTTTCCCCTCTCGCACCCAGGTGAGGAGCTGGCGATGTTGGAGGACATGAGCCTTGGAATCATGGACCTGAGAAACGTGACCTTTAAAGTCACACAGGCCACTTCGCATGCACCCACTGACATGCTGCCTGTCATCACAGGAAACCGGTAGATTGTTGATTTAAAATTTTCTTGAGCCTCTCACTTTTGATGGATTGTATTTCATTTGAGGCACTCTCCCCTTTTCAGCTGTTTGCTCTGTTGAGTCACAAATGTTGGTCACAACCCCGTACACTCATTTTATACCTCCTCCCCTCAAGGCTTGTGACCGGCAGCTTGGTTGTCCCTGAGCTTGAGGGCCACTGTGGCTTTCTTATTGAGGCCTGCTCACTGCCCTTCCCAGGCAAGGCAGGCATCCTGGACCTAACCCTGCTCTTCGTCTCTCCCCTCTCCCCCTCATCCAGCGATGGGTTCAACGTGCGGATCCCGCTGCCAGGCCCACTGTTTGATGCACTGCCCCGGGAGATCCAGAGCGGCATGCTCCTGCGGGTGCAACCTGTCCTCTTCAACGTGGGCATCAACGAGCAGCAGACGCTGGCCGAGAGGTATGTGCAGAACCCCCACTGCTCCTCAGGTTCCCAGGGCCCTATGTGCCTTGCCATACCTCCCTTCCTGCACATGGATGTGGTGCTGTTCTTGGCCTTGGAGACACAGCAGTAGGCTGGTTATAGTCTCTGTCTTCAGAGATTTGGCAGGTAGCAGAGAAAGGGAGAGAGAGACAGAGCGAGAGAGAAAGAAAATAGGTGTAGGGAGAAATGTAGGGGCTTTGAGATCCTGAGTGATGTGTCTGCTGAGGTCTGAGAAGTGTTACAGGCTTCCTGGAGAAGGTGACAGCTGAAGTTGGCTTTGATGCATAAGTAGGAATTAATCAGATGAGGTGGGAGAAAGACCGGATGTCCCAGGCCAAGAAAAACAAAGCCAAGGCCTGGCAGAGAGAAGCAGCAGTGTAGCCAGGACTCCAGGAGGGGGCAGTCATGTGGAGGTTGGGGGCCAGGACTTATGCCTTGTAAAGTGCTGCCCAATGGAGCGGAGTCATGTGTGCCTTTGGGCCTGTGTTGTGGTGGGGGCAATTTGCTGTATGGGACCTAATAAAGGCCGCTGTGAGTTAGTGAAGATCTTTCATGTGAAAAGATACCTTGAGGTACGTGCTGCTAAAGCAGTTGGGTGTCTGGGACAATGTGCCTCATTCTTACTGGGTCTTTTTCACTGTGGTCAACACACATTGACCCCCAGGTGTGGGATAACCCCCACTTGGGAAGTGAGATGAGGCTGCTAGGAGACAGTGAAGGACTTCAGTGGACAATAGGACACCACTAGATTGACATTCTGGGCAGGTGGTTGTGCTGAACACGTGTGGGAGCTGTGAGAGCACACATGCTTTGAAGAAGGGCAGTGCCAGAGCAGAGGCGAGAACACCTTGTCAGTGGTCTGGAGAAGGACTGCTGTGAAGCAGCCCCAAGATGACCAATGAGTGGATCATGAAGACCAGGACTTCCTATGGTGGAGACTGCGCTGGGTGTAGCATTAGGGTACTGGCTCACAAGGCAGAGCCCTCTGAGGTGTGAACAGAGTAGAAGGAACGCCCTGCAGGGAGTGTGGACGGGCCCCCCCCCAGCTGGGAGGTGACCCAACAAGGAAGATTTCAGGACCTGTTTTGGAACCACCTTGACCTTCCTTGCAGGTGACATCCACTGCATCTTCTCTCAGGCAGTGAGCACATTCTTGCAGCCAGCAGGGCTTCCACCAGTGAGCCTGAATGACAAGAAACAAGTGAGGGCCTCAGGTCAGCCCAGAGGGACAGACAGGCAAGGACCATGTCCCCCCCCCAGTCATGCTGTCTCTTCTCTCAGGGACCTCTGGGGCAATGTCATGGCACTCTGGGCCTAATACCTGGAGTGTTTGTGCTGGATAGGCACCCTTCAGTCCGTGGGTTGGGTGCCTATCTGTCCCTGCCTCTACAGTGTGTTTAAAATGGTCACCAGCACTGTGGACCAGCTTTGTGCTTTCTGGAGGAGTGTGGCTTGGAATTGAGATGGAGTCAGCCCTGCTAGCTTTGTACACCTCTGTCGAAGTTAGAAGGATGTGCTGCAAGCCAACTAATGCTGTTCCTTTACCACCTCCCAAGGTTTGGGGACACCTCTTTACAAGAAGTGATCAATGTGGAGAGCTTGGTGCGGTTAAATTCCTACTTTGAGCAGTTCAAGGAAGTTTTGCCTGAGGACTGTAAGTATCCCTTACTCATGTGGGGTTTCACCTGCCTGAGCTCAGACTGTGTGCTTGCTGACCTTCCCAACGCTGCCCGCTTGCTCTGCTATCTCCCTCTCTATCCCTCTCTGTATATGTTGCTCATTTACACACACATGTTCAGTCACACACAGTGTCCTGTTTACTTGTTTTGACTTTGCCTTCTGGCATTCTACCCACAGAAGCTTCTCTCACACTGAAGCCCTTGCTCACCTGTCTCGTTGGTTCTTTTTTTTTTTTTTTATTATTTTTTCATTGGAAAGGCGGATATACAGAGAGGAGAAACAGAGAGGAAGATCTTCCGTCCGATGATTCACTCCCCAAGTGAGCGCAACGGGCCGATACTATGCCGATCCGAAGCCAGGAGCCTCTTCAGGGTCTCCCACGCGGGTGCAGGTTCCCAAAGCTTTGGGCCGTCCTCGACTGCTTTCCCAGGCCACAGGCAGGGAGCTGGAAGGGAAGCGGGGCTGCCGGGATTAGAACCGGCGCCCATATGGGATCCCGGGCGTGCTAGGCGAGGACCTTTAACCACTTGCGCCACCGCGCCGGGCCCCTCTCGTTGGTTCTTGATGTGGGTCTTGAATCCCACGCATCACTGACATTGACCCATGTCTCTGTGGTTGATAGCTGTCATACGGATTTTGGAGGCAGGACCCAGGGGAGTGATGTGGTGAGCTGCCCAGGCACCTCCCTGCTTGGTGCTTAGGGAGCAGATTGCTGGACAGACACCCCCGCTGGAAGTTAAGGGGCTAGGTGGCCCGTAGCAACCTGCCATCCCACAACCCAGACTTCCTGTGGTGGAACTGTCATTGCTCATAGTGAAAATACTGCAAGGAGGACACAGGGCAGCATTCATGTGTGGAATTCTTTCTGGAAGTCACCTCAGGAAATAGTCCCTGAGCACCTGTTCTGTGTAGAGTTTAGGGTAACAGAGCCCATGTGGGAGGAGACCCAGGCAGTCTCAGTGAGTTTGGAGTATCCCCTGCTTCCTTGTGCAGACACTGCCCTAGCCACTGGGGGTGTGCCACATGGGGATGAAGGTGACCAGTTCTTACCCTGGAGCTGAACTAATGCCCTCTCAACAGGGGCTCCAAAGAGGGAAGACCATGGGATTGGCAAGATAGGGGCAGGCTTCCTTTGTGCTGCAAGATGTGATATATATCCCAGAACTAAGAATGCTAGTTAGTATGTCTGTCCTGGTGTGAAAAGGCCTTGCTTGGCCCTGAAGCTTTGTGCCAGGTCATTCAGCAAATGTCATTCTCTTGGGAAACTCAGCTGTGAGGGTCTAAAGAGCTGGGCCAAGGAGGTTTGTGTTAGTTTAGTAGTGTTGAGTGGGGGAACTGTGTGGAAACAGCTGACTATTTGCCAACTCATTTAGAAAGTTTGTTGGTTGGATTGGATGAGGGACCCAGCTCCTGGCAGACAGGACGGGCCAGTGGGGCACTTGCTGAGAGGACCCTTCTTCTCAGTTCCTCAGAATAAGGAGCAGGATGAGGGAGATGGTGGGAACTGTGCAGCAGCTGCTGAAGCTGTGATGTGAACAGGCAGCCTCGGGGAGAGTGCAGATGCGTAGCCCTGAGAGGAGGTCCCTGGTAGCTGAGCTCACTGAGCAGTAAGACGAGAAGAGGCCAAAGGCAAGGAGTGGAGATGACCTTGTGCTCTGGCGGTTGGTCAGGAAGCCAGGGTTTCACAGAAAGGCCAGTGATGTAGTGTTGAGCTGGCCCAAAGGAAAGCAGGAGTGGAGGAGGTTATGAGGATGTTCATCAGCCTCAGGGATTGAACAAGGAGTCTCTGGTAAGCTCTTGGGACAGTGGCAGTGCAGTGACAAGGCAATGCTGCCTTGGTATGGCCCATGTTTGTGGAAGGGGTTGGGGGAGATTGGACACCCCCTGCAGCTGCATGGGCCATGTCGGCACTTAAAGCCCATGTGTGGGTGGGAGGGATTGGAAAAAACAGTGGTTGGAAAATGCAAGAGGTTCTGGAATGTCCAGGAGGAGAAGGGAGGTAAAGGAATGACAGAGGAAATCCTGGGATGTGGGGTCACCTGGCTTCCATCTCCCAGTAAACGAGGCTGAGCACAGATCTGGGCATCAGATACCGCTGGGGCTGTGGAGGCAGTAGCATCAATTCTGGCCACTCTGAGTGTGGCTTAGACCAGCACTGGTTCCCAGGCCCCTGGTGAGCATGCTGGGCAAGGCCCATCCAGAGCTGTGTACAAGGCTCCTTTGAGGACTCCGCCAAAGCCGTCAGTAACCCAAGTCCATTGGACCCTCACTGCCGAGGTGTCTTCATGTTCTTCAACAGTGAGCACAGCCAGGAGCAGCTGACCTGTCTTGTCCTCATCCCCCTGCCAGGCAACTCCTACCTGCTGAACCTGGGTTATCTACTCTGAACCCACAGCAGCCCTGTAAAGTGGTTGCTGCTCTCATACCCACTTGACAGATGAAGACCCAAGGCAAGAATGTTGGGCTGCCCTTTTAGCCCCAGGAAAATTGCTCATCTATGAGGCCATTTGGCTGAATACCTGCAAAGCCTGCTGAGTTGCTCAGTGGGTGGTTTTCAAACTTGGGGCTACAAGGAAGGTCATGGCCAAGCTGTCCTCAACTTTGAGTGGTCAGATCATGTCATCTCCTCCAGAGAGTGAAGACCCCTGAGCCCCTTAAGCTCCCCTCCTCACACTCCCACTGTCTCCTACAGTGAGCCCCTTCTAGGCAGGAGCCTCCTCTGTTTATTGCTGCCCTATTCCCTGTGGGCCTGGATGCGTCAGCAGCGTGGAGTCATTGGCACAAGATCCTGTGGACAACAGTGTGACATAGGTGGCAGAAACTGTGTGGTTTGGTCCCATGGTGCCGTGCACTTGGTTCAGATGTGGGGATTCAGGTGTTGTGGCTGTTTACCTTAGTCGTGACCTTGAGGCTCTTCTCTTTGTCTTTGATATTCCTGGTGTTTGAGAATCCACAGACCTCCAGGAGTGGTTGCTTTCTCTTTCTACTTTTATCCCAGGTTTCCTAGGTAAGATGATCTGACAGATCTTAGGACTCATGAAGTCCTGGAAGGGCCAGGAGACCACCACAGCGGGGGAGGGAAGTTGTCAGAGCAGGGAGACTCCTCTGCATCATCGAGAAATGTAGTTCTCCAGGTGTGGGCCCAGTCCATCTGCCTGCAGGAGGCTGTGTTTTCCGGCCTCCTCCAAGGTTTCTAGGTCACCTAATGGCCGACGGACTTCTACAGGCATCCCGGACTAAGGGTTTGGAGACCAAATGGAGCTCCTACACTCCCTCCTAAGTCATTCTTTGGGAGGGGGTGGGAGATGTGGTGTGTACAGGAAATTCCTGGGTGACTTGGTATCCACACCTGAGCCCTTTGGAATCACTGAAAACATAAAACGACTGCCTGACAAAGGTGAAAGTGGAGAAGCAGTCAACCCACTGGGTAGCCATGTCCAACCCCTCAACTTCAGCTGCCAGCTTCTTCCCCAGTGACTTCTGCAAGTGGCCTCCCACTGTTGGGTGCCATGTTCCTGCATGCAGCCCCCACTCCCAGAGACTTCTGTCCTCCTCCAGGTCTACCTCGGTCTCGGAGTCAGACCTGCCTGCCAGAGCTGCTGCGGTTCCTAGGTCAGAATGTGCACGCCCGGAAGAACAAGAACGTGGACATCCTGTGGCAAGCTGCTGAGGTACTCACTGTCAGGGAAACATATCACTGTGCTTGCTGCCAGAAGTCATGGCGCAATACCAAGCAAGTGGCTCCTGTGTGTTTGCATGAGGGCATCAGGCCAAGGCAGTGTGTTCCATGACCCAGGGAGGGACTTGGTATTGCCCAGGACGTTCAGGGACGCCTGAGCTCTTGACATGGCTTTCACTCACACAGGCCTGCACAATCAGTACTGACCAATGTTCACTGCCTGCTATGCCTTCCACCAAGTCAGGGGAGACTGTAATGACCAGTCTTTGTCCTACATGCAGTTCTGCTGTCTCTTCCCTAAGAACTTACACTATTGTAAAGTTTTTCTCAGAACTTTCCCTGTCAGAGTCTCAGTTGCTACCCCAAGGCTGTTGTCCAAGCAATGTTATGGCAAGTCACTTAGTCATCTCTGATGAAGAGATGAGCTTAGTTCATGTCCATGGCAGCCTGATCAGCCTAGCATCAGGCTCGGGGCCCGGGACACAGGGTGTACCTCCCCACCACCTCCCAACCACCATTTGCTCCCTACTGGGACCTGGGGAGCAGAGAAAGACAGATGAGGCATGAGTCAGTACTGCTCTGCGCCTGTGCAGGGCCTTCCCCCCGCAGTTTCCAGAGCGATTCACCCTCTGTCTTGTCAGGAAAGCACCTTGGTCTGCATAGCAGTGGGTGGTTGCAGCTGGTCCCTGTACAGGGCAGCCACTTGAAACTGTTTCTTAGACTCTGTATTTGAGAGCCCCTCTTTGTCAATGTGCAACCTGGTTTTTATTTCCTGTTGGTCATGGCTACTAGGAACTCTGTTGAATGATATCTCAAAGCATGTGAAGCTGCCGCCCCTCCATGGAATCCCCCTTCCTAAGCATAGTCTGTTTTCGTGTTGGCAGATCTGCCGCCGCCTTAATGGGGTCCGGTTCACCAGCTGCAAGAGTGCCAAGGACCGCACGGCCATGTCGGTGACACTGGAGCAGTGCCTGATCCTGCAGCACGAGCACGGCATGGCCCCACAGGTCTTCACACAGGCCCTGGAGTGCATGCGCAGGTGAGTGCTGCTGCCCAGCTGCTGCCAGCCTGCCTGGCCGCCGTGTAAACTGCAGATGAGAGCCGGTGCCCCTTGCCCACCGAGCAGCCTCCCTGCTTGAGGTCACTGACGCCAGCTGTCATGCTCAGGTTTGACAGCTCGTCAAGCCACTGGCTGTCAAATTCCGAGAATGTCCTCTTTGTAAGGCAGTGAGGGGAAGAGCTGGCAGTCCTTTTGAGCAGGACAGCGCTTCAGACCGGTGGAGGGTGGGAAGGCCCAGGGTCAGGCAGTGAGGCAGGGAGGTTGGATGCAGTGTGGGAAGAATCCCTGGGCCACCCTGCAGATGGGACCAAGGGCCAGTATGTTCTCAGCAGGCACCTGCTGTTTCCATGGTGTGTGTTTGTACATTTCCAAAGTTGCCGCGTCTGCAGGTTGCACTGGTTTGCTCTGCTTCCTCTCCAGCAGCTGACACAGTTTGCTTTCATGAGCAAAGTGTCCAGTGAGTGTCTTTATGGCGATAGTTGTCGGTGTGCCCTGACGACCTCACCCTAACTGGTGTTCTGATTCCGAGGCAGCAGGCGTGTTTGCAGAATGAACCCCGAGCGCAGACTGTCCACTGTTTCTGATGCCTTGTTTCAAGCACTGCTGGGCAGCCCCACCTCACATACCGAAAGAAAGGATAAGAAACCTGGTCTTCCCCTACCCCTTTGATGTAGTCACCAATGCTGTTCAAGTCTCGTTTCCAACAGTCACTTCTACTGAATGTTCTGTGTCATTTGTCCTCTCACCAAATTCTTTAAAGTGTTCAATTCTCTTATCCTTTCTGTATGTTTCTGCTGTTTGGCCTTCTCACAGCAATGCTCAGGAGTGGTGCGTGAGCTCCTGCCTCTTGATCAAATGCAGTTTGTAAAACAGAAGTGTTCAGTCACTGTTTTGTCTTGGCACGTTTCATCCAAACCTCTGTTGTTGAAAGTCCACTGTCCCTCGGCTGCTAGCCTCAGGGTAGCAATGGAGACTCTGGAACATTTTCTTTGGGGGACTGGCTTTTTTAGTTGCTTTTATTTTTGTTTGTTTTAATTATGTTGGCCAAGGGCCTGCCTTTAGGTGCCTTGGTACCCTTAGGCTCAAACATCTGGGACTCCCTTGGCTGTGCTCAGGTGAGCTTCTGTTCTCTGGCCCTGAAGAAACAGGAGTGAAAAGCCAGGGATTCCTGGGACTATGGGAGCATAGGTCAGAAGCAGGTTCAGCACGGCAAGGCCCCAGGTTGGACGTGCACCTGGTAAAAGAATACTGTTTAGTTCTTGGGCTCTTGAGCAGATTCAGCAAAAATCAGAGTGCTTGTCAGCACAAAGCCACGAGGAGACCCAGGAGAGAGATGCCTAGTGCAGCCACAGGGCCTGGCCCTGAGCGCAGAACCTGTGGACCACCCTGTGGGACAGCTTGGGGATGTGTGCATGGATCCCACATGGGTGCAAGACGCCTCATACAGCCATGACCATTAAAAGCACGAGACACTCCAACTTGCAGTTGCATGAGTGATGCATTCTCCTCATAGGAAAAATAGAAGTTGTAGATAAGTCTGTGAAGACATCATACACACTCTTACACACAGATCCTGCAGAGCTTGGCCTGTCATCGGATTGCACGTCCAGAGGGATGTGAGTGTGGCTAGCCCACGTACTTGTTAACCAGTCCTTGAATTGCACACAAGATAAAACCGCACTAACACACAGGCAGTCAAATGCACAATTCCATCTGTGATTTTAACCATCTGGTTTTGGTTTAATTTAAATATCCTGTGGGCCCCTTTTTCATGTAAGTAAGTATAGATTTTCACTTTGAGCACACCTTAATCTATCTAATTTACTGTCATTGAGCATTTTGATCCAGGATGCAGCAAGTGTCCTTTCATATCCTCCTATCCACATTTGCCAGATTGATGCCTCCACACAGCAGTATTTGGGGCTGTGACCACAGGCATTTGTTCTAAGATGATGCTCTAACTCTGACTTCCATGTTTCCTGGACTGTCCCATGAGGAGAAGACTCACCTCTGCACAGTTGACTGCAGGCCTGAGGCGGCCAGGTTCCCCTGGTTGCCCTGGCTCCCAGGTTCCCAGGTTCCCAGGTACCCTTGGCTATAGCGTGACCAGCACCTCCAGATCTGCTGAGCACCCTGAGGAGGCAGGACTAGATCTGGACCGTGCCCTTGCATGGAGGAGTATGCACCAGTTCTCTGGCTTTCTTGCTTGCCTCAGATGGAAGTCGAGCATGCAGGACAGTGGCAGCAGTTGAAGGGTGAAGCTGAGACCCAGGCTGTCTTTATCCTGGGGGTCCAGGGTGAGCAATGGCCAGTGCTGTGCAGTGAACATTCGCCAACGAGCCCAATCCACAAGGTCCTGATCTGTGGTGTTTGCCAGTTTCCCACTGGGCCATTTTAAACTCCTAGGGTGGCACTAACTGAACATGGAGTTGGGGAGAAATTTGCCTGTTCAACTTCTCCATGCCATGTGAGCCGACATAGCTCCTTTTTGGAGGTATCCTCTGTCCCCAGGCAAGGGGTTGAGTCCTGCATACTGGGGTCTTCCTGAGTAGCTGCAGTGACTAGCAGCCTACTCTGGCGGAGAATGTGACAGACAGGGCTTGTTAGCTTGGAGAGTAGCCCTGATGAGAGCAGCATATTCCTGCAGGGCCAGTCCTGGGCGTCCCGGTCCTCCTGGGAAAACTGAAGTGGGGAAGGATTCTAGATACTGATCCCATACTTTAAAGACATATAAAGTAGCACCAAATGGAGGCAGGAGACCCCCGATTTCCCATTCTGGACTTGATTGGATTCTATTTTGCGGGATCCACTTGTAGAACTAATTGGCAATATTGGAGCCACCATTGCTCATAGCCCTGACACTGCTTAACCTGAGACCCCCAGTGGGTGTGGAAGAACTAAGTGTGGTTTAAATACAAGGTTCTTGTTTGTGTGGTCATCAAGAGGCAGCTTTGATCAAACCTGCTGCACCCCACACCGGCATCTGTGAGAAGGCCAAACCTCATGGTTCTTCATGTTCAGCTTGCATCTCTGAATCCCCGTCCGCAGCATGTGGGAGCATGGCAGGCAGCATGGAGCTGTGCTTGGCCAGCCGAGAGGGTGAACATGGAAAACCATCCATTCAACCTACACGTGTTTATTTTCAGTGGACTGCAGTATTTTTCCTTATTTTCACTTCTCTTTCTCTCCCTTTTTTTCCTGTGACTGTGCTGGTTTTGTTTGGTGTTCTTTTTACCTCCCTTTGTTTTGTTTTGTTTTGTTTCTGCTCTGGCTCTCTTTCTTTTTTTCTTTTTTTTTTTTTTTAACCTTACCTTTTGGTTCTCTTTTTCCATACTTTTTGATGAAATCCACTGCATGTCTTTTTTCCCCTTCCTCTTTATTTTCTTTCCTTTCCTTCTTTTCTTTTTTTCTTTTCCTTTCTCCCAACCTTTTTCCTTTTCACAGCATTGGAACACGGGAGGTAGTCACCCAGAAGAACTTGAGCGGTCTGGTGCCCATCCGAGACTTAAGGCTAGACCCAAGCCTCCTCTGTTCCCTCCCGTTACTAGCTCTGAGCCCCAATTTACTAATTGTGTGGCTCTTCCTGAGCATAGCGTACCTGGTGACCAAATTGCGTTGCAAATGAATATATCACTATGAGAAATTTAAAGTGCCCAAGCATGCCCAGCCACCGCGTACCTAACTGGACAGAAGGAAGGTGTCAAGGCGTGGTCTGCCAAGAAATCTCTCATGCCTTACAGTTTGATGTTTGGTTCCTCTGAACTGTGAACACCTGCCAATTTTTTTCACCAAGAAGACTTGTTCATTTCAGTCCTATAGCGGCTTCAGCGTGTGTAACCTTCTTACAGCGCCCTGTTATACCGCATTGTTCTGCTGGCCTGGAATTACTTGTATTACATCTCTTAGCTTTCTGATGTAAAACTATTTAATTACCTGTATATCTCATGTTCCCTGTCCCCAAGAGAAAGGAATTCTGTTAGACAAGAGTTTGTATATTCGATACTGTTCTAAGCGTGCTACGAACCTCTCCTGTCCTTTTGAAGAAAAATGAATAGACAAAGGTAGATAAGCCTATTGAATAGGACAGACACTTCCTGCTTTCATTTCAAAGCATGGCCCCTGGACAACAGTGGCAAGCAATCTGCAAAATCCTGACATTTCTTTGCCCCAGTTCATTCTTTCCATCTGGGGATGACACAGAACTGGGACACAACAGCCCTGTGACACAACCCAGTTTGGTCAGGCACATAACAATAACTTCCTGCATATGACTTCTGACTTAACTCTTTAAGGATCATTAAATGGAGTCAAGACACTAATGCCCATATGTAGCAAAAGTCTGTTGAAGTTATTTATATTAATTTTTCTTGAAATGGTATTTTTCACTTAAGGACATATATCTTTTATTCCAGATTAAAGTTCAGACATCCTCTCTCTCTTGTTAAATAAAGGAAGCAATCAAACCAAAAAATCAATAAAAATGACCAAAAAGTGAGGCTTAACTTTTGAACAATTGTGGCAAATAGAAATATGAGAGAAGGGGTTGCTGTGGCTACCACTCTGGATTTTAACCTGTTAATGGCCTTAAAAGGAGATGCCTTGTATAACCCTAACATTCACGTGTGCCAGAAAGTAATTGTATACCCAGAGAGGCAACTGAATAAGCCGGGGCACATTCCATACTGCCTATCTAACATATAGTGGCTTCTCTACTTGCCAGTGCATACTGTTTTGTGCTTCGAGTTTCCGCCTCCAACTGATTCCCCAAGCACCATTTGCTGATGTGTTTTTCTCTCTGCCAGTCTAGAGAAGCTAGTGTAAGTTTAGAGGAGTCAGCTCTTGCAGCATGTTGACCCCAAGCATGCACCTGAGACCAGGCCACCGTCAGATGTGACCTCTGCATCCTGTCTCTAAGACTCCTTGATTGGGTCTCAGTTCAGAGTTGAAAGTGTAGAAATCCCAGAATCAACTAACAAATGTCAGATTCTAAATTAAGCAGTATAATACCATCCTCTTCATGCCCCAGAGCTGCCTTCTTTCTAGATCCCCTGAGGGTCACTTTTGGGTCGCCTTTACAGGCGCGTCCTCCTATTCCTCCTAGAGTCACAGAGGTGGCTGTGCCTTGAACCAGTCCGTGGTCGCCTTTGTAGAATTTCTGTCTGCATGCCAGCTGCTTGGAGGTGGTGTGGTAGCAACATGACACTGGTTTTTGCCAGCCTGTCTTTGTAAGGTACATTCACCACCTGCCCTTTCCCACCTGCAGGTGCCCACTGCAGCTCTCTGAAATGACTGTGGCTTTATTTAAAGGTGGGAAACTCACTTTCCGGCTCCTGCTCCAGATAAGGAAGGGGATGCCAGAGGCAGAGGCCCGGCATGAACCCTCCTCCATAGTGGAGCTGGAGGCCAGACAGAAGCCCTGTGTGCGTGAGGGAGGCCTTGTGACTGCAGTGGCATGCCTCCTTCCACCAGGGCCCACAGTGCTCAGCAGCGTGCTCCAGGGGCTCCTTCCAGGACCACACATACGGCTAGGGCGAGTTGTGGCCAGGCAGGCCCCAGGGGGCTTCTAGGACACCACAGCGTGATCCTCGGCTACTCCGATGCCACTGCACCTTCCTGTCCTGTGGAAGCTTGGCTGCAAGCTTGAGAGAGAGGCAGGGTACACAGGAGAGGGGATGGTCTTTTTTATCTTGTCCTACAGGAGCTGGAACATGAGCAGCACCCTGCATTCTGCCTGCATGCTACAGGTGGGGAGAGCCTGGAATCTTTTCTTTCCTCTCCCTCTAAGATGGCTGAGTGGAGAAACTCAAGTATGCCCACTCTTTTGCTCATGACTGCAGGCCAGATACATAATTGGAAGTCATATCTGCTTTACCGAGAAGAAGGGTGGAATAGAATGGAGAAATGATTCAAGCCAAGAGGGACAGGCTGGCATTGTGGCACAGTGGGATAAGCCACTACCACTTGTGACACCAGCATCCCATATCAGAGTGCTGCTTTAATTCCAGGCCACTCTTGTCTCTGGTCCAACTTCCTGCTAACACACCTGGGAAGGCAGGAAAGGATGGTCCAAGTGCTTGAATCTCTGCCTGCTACCCATATGGACAAGAGGATGGAATTCCTGGCTCCTGGCTTCAGCTTGGCCCACACTTTGCTGTTGCAGCCATTTGCAGAATGAACCAGCAGATGAAAGATAGCATGTATACTCTCTCTCACTCTCTTTGCCACTCTGCATTTCAAATCAAATGAGTCTTGGAAAAGGGTGTGGAGGTCACTGACATTTGGTACTGGCTCTAGGTTGCTTATGAGTAATGCTGATGCTGAGGCACTGTCAATGTCAGCACCCCCCACCTGAGTACCCCATGTTAAATCAGTTTCTGAAGTTAGGGAAGCCACACCCAAGGAGTGATTCTCTGGCTGCATTATTGCTCAGCTCATGTGACAGTCACTGTTGAGCAACAGTGTAATGGCCCAGTCACCCTGCCTGCAGTGATTGGGGTCACAGCGGCTGCCTGGGGCTGCCAAGGGCCCGCAGGCAGAAGCTTTCCCATGAGCTGCAAGTAGAAGATCCTAACTGGAAAAGGAAAACCAGAACCAGTGGCTTCCCTGAATCACTTGTCAGTTGGGGTTTCTATTTTAACTTTCATCTCCAAAATGGATATTCTTGAAAATGAACATTTTATTTTATAACAAATAATCATATAGCATCAAAACTATTGGCTGCTGTTGGCCAAATCTCTCCAGGACTTCCTCTTCACTGGCTCCTAAAAATAATACAGCCAGTTGCAATGGGAAATGCCAGTCCCCACAGCACCCCTGGCCACCTCCGCACGTCGTCCCTCCAGTCTCACTGGCCACCCTGGCAGCCCTGCAGGATGTGTGACTAGAGTGTCTGTGTGGGGAGTGTCAGCCACAGCAGCCAGGTTGTGTCAGTGCGAACATTTGATTCCGAAGTTCAGCTTAGCTTCAAAACTAGGTTGAAACGAAGATGTTTCCTTTGAATTCTGTATCTGAGGTGTTCAGCCAGCTCCCCCAGGTGTCAGTCCCTTCATGTGTCAAAGAAGAGAATGTGAAAGTGCACAGGCGACCTTTCCTGCTCTTCAAAGCACACAGGCATGGCTGGTGGCAGGTGGTCCTTGAGACGTGTGCATTTCCTTGTATGTGGAGAAGCCATATCTATTTCACTTGTGAACTAATCCGTAAATGGAAGAACTTCCAAAGATCACAGGCAAGGAACTGTGCATGCAAACCTCTCGTTTCTGCTCTAAATAGAATCACATTTGTATCTAATTACCGATCAGTGTTAGACACAACCAATTGTCATGTACCGAAGGGACCTGGCTCGCAGGGCCTGTGTCCAGCTCAGGTGGTAGGCAGCTTTCTGCAGGCTGCCACTGTGTCACAGGAAAGCCTGTCTGAGTTACTGCGTTCATGAACACAATCAGGTAGATATTTTTGTAAAATACCTGAGCTCATCTTTTGGATAAAAATGACTGTCTTACTAAAAAATAACCTGAAGTCTTGATAACGAGATTGTCATTTTCACTTGAAAAGGCTTGAGCATCTGCCACTATTTTTTTTAGATGCATGCATGATGGTCTTCATACAGTTGAACATATTTTTTTAAGATCACTGTTTCTTGATAACTACAAAATTTACATATATTTGGGGGGTTTTGTACTAAATTTGATAACTAGCCTAGTCTGAGAGTATTAAATAAGAAAAATTAAGTCAAGCCGTGCTGTCGGAAGTCGTTTACATTCACAACTGCTGCTGCTGTTCTGTTGCTATCTATCCCCACCATGCCCCCCAGACCCCTGTTCACTGAAAACAAGAGGCCTGCCTGCCTCATCCCCTCGTTCGCATTTATTTTTACCCACTGGGTTGACAGGAAAACCCTCCATCACATGTCCTTGGTGGGCATGATGCTGGTGGCCAGTTCCAAGAATGACAACAGCGAGGGCAGCCTGCCTGGAGAGACGTGGCTGGCGACCACTTGGAGGCCGCCATCCCCAGCCCTGGCAGTTCAGCACACACTAAGCACCAGAGCGGCTGTGCCCTGGGTGGAGCCCGCGGGCTGGAAGAGCCGCCTCAGCCGAGGGCTGTGCTCATGATAGGCCAGTCCTGACTCTGCTGTGGCTGTTTTCCTGGCGTAGAAAGACACAGTTCTATTAAGGAGCCCTCATCTCTCTTCCCACCTCATTTGCTATGTCCCCAATCCATTGTGCCCCAAATGGGGACAGACTCTCAGACAGCCAGAAGTGAGGTGAGGTGCAGGGAGTTGGGGAGCAAAAGGCGAGCTCCACTTGGGAACTGCACACATCCCATCCAGCAACTGCGTGCCTGTGAGCCTCACCTGCCTCGACCAGAAGCCCACCACCATCCTTTGTGTGTATTCACTGTTAATAAGTTTGGCACTCATCTGAAACAATCAGCTCCCTCCTTTTTTTTTTTAATGCTATGAAAATAATCAGTTCATTTCATCTTAGTTTAAGTCTTTTTTCTTTTTTCTTTTTTTACTGCTGTCATTTCTTGTGCTTGTTTTTTTCCCCAGTGAGGGTTGTCGAAGAGAAAATACAATGAAGAATGTTGGAAGTCGCAAATATGCGTTTAATTCCCTGCAGCTGAAGGCTTTCCCCAAGCATTACAGACCTCCCGAAGGGACTTACGGCAAGGTTGAGACTTGAACACACGCTGTCCTCTCATTAGCGGTTCCATAACACACGTGGGTACCCTCTAGGGTCAGACACGAATTCTTCAAGAAGACCCGAAGGATCGGTTTCTATTTTTGTGTGTGTGTGTGTTTTTGTTTTTTTTTTTTTCTTTCTTTTTTAAATCTTTCACCGAAGAGTTTCTGGCGCATGTCTGTTTTCCTTTTTCATTGGCATCAATTGGAGGTCATGTGTGGCTCAGTAGCATGGCCAGAGACAACTACTCATTGAAGTAGCCTTCAGTGGTAGCCCCAGGTGTGAAGTGAGCTGCCGAGCCAGGCTAGCGGTGTCTGAAATGCTACAAGACTGTTTCAGATGTCTCCCTAGGAACTGCTCACCCACCTCATTTTTCTACTTGAGTCACCCAGAAGTGAGCATCAAGTTGCAATCTGCTTTTTACAAACCCGAATGTAAAACAGCCCATACTCTTGTAAGGGATTGCAGACCATTCAGTGGCAGCCACTGGTGTGTAGGGGGAGGTGGAGAGTAAGTGACCATGGTGACCTGCTCTGTCCACACTCTGAGAAGTGGGAAGTGGAAGGGAAGGTGGAGGAGCGAGTTGAGGTGAGATTTGATTAGAAGGAACCCGGCCAGTGACCAGGCCTCTTTCCGTCCTTAGGAGCTACATAGCAGAGTGTCTCCTTGTGACAGAGTGGCAGCCTGGGCACAGGCAGCTCGCTCCTCCAAGCTCCAGGGCTGTGTCCCACCCCATCCCCAGGACACGCGTTCCCTTCTGTAGACGTTGAGTTACGTCACTCAAGGCACCTCAGATGTGGCCTATGTAATGTCTGAGGGACGCCACTCTAGTGGCGAATTCCTAACTGTAGAGCTGCTGGGAACTTTGGTATACCCAGAGTGTTCTTTTGCAGGATCTCCAGTATATATTCATCTAAAACACAGTACAATCATGTCTGGATGTCTGATGGAAGTATCTTCTTTTTAGGTTTGCAAAATTGTGATTTGTTGCTTTGTTCTGTAAGACAACTGTTGAGAAACATTTAAAATGATCTCAGATGAGCTTGTTGAAGGGATTTCTCTAGGTCATAAAACTGAGGAAATTTGTGGGAAATCATGTCTGGTCACCTTTCCTGAGATGCTGATGAGTCTCCTGTGCACCTAGCAGAGCCCGATTCTGTTTGTCATGATGACGTTTACATGTTCTTCATGAGGCTGTGAAAGCAGCAGATGGTGGCCTACATCCACGTGGCTCACCCCAGTGATGTTTATAAACCTGTTGGCAGTTCTTGCAGCTGAAAAATCCAGATACTTTGAGCTCCTTCATAAACGTGCAAAGAACTTGAGCGTGGGATACTGGGATGCAGGCAGGACTGCTCCCGAGCTGGAGCACAGAAGGGCTGGCCATCACATGCCATGGGGATGGGTGATCTTCCTCCTGTTCAGAGCCTGTCTCCAGCTGCCCACAGGGGAGCACACAACAACAGCTGGGGAGGGGCTTTCACAAGGCTGCCCTCAGAGTGGGATGCACTGTGTAGGGGCCCGTCTGCCTGCTGCACAGGCGGCTGCAACTGGCGCCAACACTGCCTGCTCTTAGGGGAGGCCAGCTTGCTTCCGGTGTGGCCCAGTTAGCCTTTCTCGTCACACAGTTTCATGGGATTTGTACGTTTTTGTGGCATCTTTTCTTATTCTACCATCCCTACCATTTTTAAAAGATTTCTCTTAAAATGTTATCCATATTTGTTTCCAGATATTTTTTTTCATTTATTTGAATTACATTAAATATTTGCAGCCTATGAAAGGGAGTAGAACGGATGTTGGGGTACCTCCCCAGCCGTTGGGCGTGTGCTACCTTTGGGCAGGCTATTTCCCCCCTTTGGCTCTCAGTCGTGGATCACGGTAGGATGCCAAGGCTTGGCTTCCAGTGTTCTCTCTGAAGGCACCTGTTGGCTTGGCATTCCCAGGCCAGCGGCCAAGGGCACAGCCAGTGGCTCAGGCTCCTCCTCCATGAGGGAGCCAGAGCTGGCAGCTGCAGAGGGATGCAGTTTTCTAGTCCTGTAAAACCCAGTTTCCATCCCTCGCATCCCTGCAGCACGGTGTAAAAAAACGTGGCGGGCAGTGGGGGCCACGGCACAGCTACCTTCGGTCTCTAAAGATGTAAATGTGCTGTGTCGTCTGACTCAGTGCAGACACGACTATCTGCCAGGCTTAGTGCATACAAATACCTTTATTTATTTGTTCTGGGCAGTATTAATATATAAATATATATATACAATCACATAGCTACTGTTTTATATATTCTTAGCTCATTCAAAGCCATGTATGCTGTAAATGTGCTAGTCTCTAGAATGACAAATAATAAAATAACTGACAACAACCCTGAGCTTGGTCTGGCCTGATTCATTCTGTTACAGGGAAGCAATGGCTGCTTGGCCCAGTGAGTGACCCTCACATGGTCACCGTAGGCACGGCATTGAGTGTGCATGGACTGCACACCCTTGTGTGTGAGCCCAGGATCCTGTGTGACCTCTGTGTGACAACCTTGTTTTCACTTCATTGCAAGCAGAGGGGTAGAGGGTAGGAGTGCAGACCTTGAGCCAGGACCCGCGCCCTCCCCTGCCGTTGGCTGGTGACTGCGAGCAAGGAGCTTGGCCTCTCTGATCCTGCGTTCTTCCCCGCTGCAGAGTATGATCGTTGGCAGCAGGTATGTTTCTCCTAGGGTGGAGTGTCGGTGGTGTCCACTGCTGCCACCTTACCGGTGGGTATTGCCTATCCGTCATTCGCTCCCGGGGCGTCCCAGCCTTTGGTAGCAACTAGCTGCCCCACTGTGGTCGCCAGGGCTGCACGCTGTGCCTCTGCCCCTCCGTCCGGGCACAGGTGCCCAGCGATTGCCCTGGGGCACATTCCGGGTGATGGAAATGTGCAACTCCAGCAGAACAACATTGTTCTTTCTGTTTCAATTTTTACCAAAATGCTCAAGGAATTTAAGCTCCACCCATATCACATGCCTTTTCTCTGTGTTCTCACAGACCACATTTTTATTTGTTTGATTACTGTATTTTGTATATTTTTTGTGACTTCACGAAGTGTTTGTCTATATATAAGTTTTTTAGCATATAATAATTATTCTGTTGTATGTTAGCATGTTTTGGCTTTCTTCAGGGTGCAGGTAAGATAGAAGGTTTAAATGTGGTGTGTCAAGTGTACCTGCTCCTTCTGTTGGGTGCTTCTCCTGTAGGGGATACGGTGTCTGTGCAGTAGGGGTGGTCACATGGAGCCAGGTGCTAGGCTCAAGTACTTGTGAGCACCTCGTCTCTGCTCAGTGTAATTCTTTCCCTGGCTGTGGGTGGCCACAGCACTGGTTAAGATGAGCACACCCCATTTGGAGTGCCTGGGGTCAGTACCCTGTTCCAGCTCCACACTCCAGCTTTCTGCACACCCTTGGAGGCAGCAGTGATAGCTCAAGGAACTGGATTCCTGCCACACATGGCACACCTGGATTGAGCTTCCAGTTCTTGGCACTAGCCTAGCTCAGCTGCTGTGAGCATGTGTGGAGGGAGCTGGCCCACTGGGGCTCTCTGTGCCTCTCAAATAAATCTTATTAAATTAAAGCAAATACTGTTTTTGGCTTCTGCCTCAGTTTCCAATATCTTTTTTTTTAATTGGAAACTTAGATATACAGAGAGGAGGAGAGACAGGAAGATCTTCCATCCGATGATTCACTCCCCAAGTGGCCGCAACAACTGGAGCTGAGCTGATCCAAAGCCAGGAGCCAGGAATCTCCTTCAGGTCCCCCATGCAAGTGCAGAGTCCCAAGGCTTTGAGCCATCCTGGACTGCTTTCCCAGGCCACAAGCAGGGAGCTGGATGGGAAATTGAGCTGCTCGGATTAGAACCAGTGCCCATAATATGGGATCCTGGCACGTTCAAGGCGAGGAATTTAGTTGCTAGGCCATCGCACCAGGCCTTGAACCATGATTTTCTTTGACACAAAACTAATGCACCAGCAACAAAAATGTTGGACTACATCAAAACCTGAACCCAATTATGTCAAGGCACAAAACCAACAGAATGGAAAGGCATATTACAGAATGGGAGAAAATGCCTGCCACTGTGTGACTAATAAAGGGTCACCGGGAAGACTACCTAAAGAGGGCCGCCTGCAATGCCTGTGTCCCGTAGGGGTGCCAGCTCAAGTCTCGGCTGCTCCACTCCCTGCTGATGCACCTGGGAAAGCAGTGGAAGATGTCCCAAATCCTTGGGTGCTTGCACCCATGAGGGAGACCCAGTTGAAGTTTCTGCTCTGGCTTCAGCCTGGCCCATCCCTGGCCATTGTCATTTAAGGAGTCAACCAGCAGATGGAAGATCTCTCTTTGCCTCTCTGCCTTTTAAGTAAGTAAATACATCCTTTAAGCTTTTTTTTTTCTTTTTGATTGGAAAAGCAGATATACAGAGAAAAGGAGATACAGAGATAAAGATTTTTAGTCCTCAGTGCACATCCCAAGTGGCTGTAATGGCCAGAATTAAGCTGATCCAAAGCCAGGAGCCAGGAGATTCCTCTGGGTCTCCCACATGGATGCAGGGTCCCAGAGCTTTGGGCCATCCTCTACTGCTTTTCCAGGCCACAAGCAGAGAGCTGGATGGGAAGTGGAGCTGCTGGGAGACGAACCTGCGCCCGTGTGAAATCCCAGAGGATGCAAGGTGAGGATTTAATCACTATGCTATCGCACCAGGCCTAATTAAATACATCCTTAAATTTAAAAAGATTATAAGGAGCCTTAACAAATCAGTAACAAAAGAGAAACAACCCATGAAAAACAGGCAAAGGATGTAAGTTTCTCTGGGGAAGATACAGAGATGGCCAAAATGAAATTATATCCAAAGAAACTAATCATTTAGGAACACAAATAAAAACTACAGTGACATACCACTTCATTCCTGTTAACATGGTGACTATTAACAGAAAATGACAAAGTGTTATTAAGGATACGGAAAAACTGCAACCCTTGTGCCCGGTTGGAGGTGAATGAAAACTGGTATGGCTGCTATGGAAAACAGTACAGCGGTTCCTCAAAAAAACAAAAAGGTAATTACCCTGTGATCAACAGTTCCACTTCAGGTTAATAATCAGAATTGGAAGCAGGGTTTCAAAGCTATTTGCATACCCTTGCTCAAATGAACAGTAACAATTCCTCTGGTGTGCTATTGTGGAAGCAAGCCCGGTATCCACTGGCTGCGTGTGTTTACATGTCAGGATGAGAGTCCAATTCAAGCCACCACATGGATCAACTTTGAGAACACTATGCAAAGTCAAAGAATCCAGTCAGAAAGGATGAATACAGCAGGATTTCACTCGTAGGAGGCACCCGAGTAGTCAAATGGCAGAAGAAGGGTTTGAAGAGTGTCTAATCGGTACTCATTTGGTTTTGCATAAACGAAAAGCAGGCATAGGGAATGATTGCGTAACAGTGTGGGTTACTTAACATGACAGAACTGTTCACTTAAATATGGTCAGAAGAGCAGATTTTATCAAAAATCTACTACAATGAGAAATCTTTTAAAATATACTTACAGGCATGAAAAACTAAAAATTATAGGCCTACATGTAGGAGGTAAAAACTACAGAACACTAAGTTACCATAAGGCTGGGTCAGCAGTGGCTTCTTAGGCTATACAGGATGCTCAACTCGCCAAGTCTCCAAGTTTGCTTCAAAGGACACTGTCAGAAAGTGAAAAGACAAGCTGAGAAAACGTGCCTGTCGTTACCCCACTTCGTTAGGGGGTTTGTGTCCATAAGTCCGCACGAACTCCCCAACTGAACACAGGCCTGATGAGCTGTGTAAGTATTCAAAGAGATGCAAGTGGGCGGCAAGCACAGGAAAACATGCCCCTCATCACTAGCCAGGAGGGAAACAGGTCAAAGTCCTAAGTAAAAGACATTTGGCTCCACAGAATGGCTGCAACCAACTAGATGGTAACAAATACTGATAGTGTAGAAATTGTAACCCTCAGTGCTGGTGGGAATGCCTAGTGACATGACAGCCAGTATGGTAAGCTTGGACTACTCCTCAAATGGTTATCGTGTGACCCCTGCAATCTCACTGTGGGAAGAGACCTAGAGAAATGTAATACAGATCCACATAAAATGGTTACTCACAGATGTTCATAATATTAGTCACAATTGCCCTCCCCCCAAAAATCCATCAAATGGTAAATAAATGTGATATATCCGTACCATGGAATACTCATGGATGATGACAAGTAATGAAGTACATATACTGATCGAACCACATACATGAACCCTGAAGCTGAAGAAGCCGGTCACAAAAGGCCATGTGGCACAAGGTGGATGACAGTGGATTCCAGGATTTAATGACGGCTGATGCCTGGAAGGAAACGGGGCCCAGGGAGTGACTACTACTCAGGACAGGTTTCTCTTCATAATGCCGAGAATGTCCTGGGATCATACAGTGGTGCAAGTTGTACAACTCTAGATATACTAAAAACCACTGACTGTCCATTTAAGGGTGAATTTTACAGTATGAATTCCTCTAGATCTCAGCTATAGAGAAGTCGACTTTTTTTAATTTAAGATTTTATTTTTATTGGAAAGTCAGATATATAGAGAGGATGGTCTCTTCTGTCCGATGATTCACTCCCCAAATGGCTGCAATGGCCAGAGCTGTACTGATCTGAAGCCAGGAATCCAGAGCCTCTTCAGGGTCTCCAGTGCAGGTGCAGCGTCCCAAGGCTTTGGGCCATCCTCGACTGCTTTTTCAGGCCATAAGCAGCGAAATGGATGGCAAGTGGAGCAGCTGGGATTAGAACTGGCACCCACATGGACAAGGCAAGGACTTTAGCTGCTAGGCTACTACACATGGCCCAGAAGTTGAGATTTTTATAAAACGTGTCCTAGGGAACTGATGTTTCGTGCTGCAGTCAGGCACTGCTTGGGATGCCCACATCCCGTTTCAGAGCATCTGGTACAAGTCCTGCCTGCTCCACCACTGATCCAGCTGCCTGCTCATGTGCACCCTGGGGCAACAGAGCATGGCTCACATATTTAGGTCCCTTCCTCCATGTGTGACACTTGGACTTAGAGTCCTGGTGTCCCAGCCATGGCTTGTGGGCATTTGAGGAGTCAACAGATGGGAGATCTCTATCTGCACTTCAAATAAAAGGAAAATTAAAACAAAATACACATCTTATTACTTTATCACTTTTAATAAAGGTTACAGCACTGACACGGTGCACAAGTTCTCTCTCTTCCCGATGCAAAGCAGCGCTCAGTGCTATCCCACCCCATTCCCACCGTGTCACAGGTAACTTCCAGAAAGCAAACCAACTACATGACAACCCCAGGGACTGAGATGTATAAAGCAGT